CCTTTGGTTGCTTTCTTTGGGTCAGCTCCTCGATGGCCACCAAACTGATTAGGAAAGCCAACAGAAAAAATAAAGGATAACGAATCGATAACAAGGATGGCTCTGGTGGTGGGCCAAAACAAGGGGATTGAGGCGATTGGTAGAGCTCCAAGGATTGGCAGGATGGCCAGCTAGCACCTCGTATTAAAGTCTGGTGAGAAGAGGGGAGGGGCAGAGTGAGGGCAATTTATGGCCACACTTGGGGGAATACCGAAAACGAAATTGCAAATATTTAGCCATATACTTATACCCAAGCGCAGGCAGATATATCAACAGTTGAAGAAAATATCAACTAAATTCAAAGTAAAATAAGTTCTTTTATTTAGTTTAAAAAATAATGTAAAGTGGATATCTAAAAACAAATGAAATCTATTTTTTATTTAGAGTTTTTAGAATTAAAATAATTACTTTTGGAATTTTAGAGGTATTAAAAACCAAATAATTAAATTATGAGAAAAATAGAATTAAAAATTAAATATTATTATTAATATATATAATTAATATTTTATATTATTAATATTAAAATTATAATTGATAATAGACTATTTTAGCCTAAAAATAATATTTTGTATATAAAGATGTCATATTTTATAAATGAAAATATATTTTTTGGGGTTTCCTTAATGTATAAATATTGATTTGAAATAATTTAAAATGGTTTACGGATTTTAAAAAAAAAAAACTTTAATTTAAGCTTACCTTATTCCTAACAGTGTACGCGTGGCCTGAGTACCCTTGTGCTCGCTGGTCTGTATCTGTCTATTGCTCATGTCTATGACAGCGGAGGCGAAGCCGCAGCGACGTGCCGCAAAATATGCGCCAAAAGCATGCAACCTACAAAAGGGGGCGAGGATTTCTTTTCTTAAAAAAAAACAAAGAAAAAACCCAAAAAAACAAAGAGCAGGCGTGCAAGAAAGGGGATCGGCAGGAACCATCGACCATTGCAACATGTTGCCTTTGCTCCGTTGTCTCGCTATATTGTTTCGACGCGAAGCGCATCAATTTCTAGACAAATTCAACACACACATACCACACACACGCACACGAAACAAAGACCAAACAAAAAAGGTTAAAGGAAAAACCCCAAAAAGCCGGGAATATAGTGGGACTGCGCTTCATGTGTGTGCAATATCAAATTTGAAAAACCCAACAACCCAAAACACGAAAAGGATGGCCGCAGACACAGACAGAGGCACAGACGATGAGGGGAGGGGGACACGAAAGCGGAGGAGGCGTGTTTTGGGGCAAACGCCAAGGATTCCCCCGATGCAGGCGCTTAAGAAGTTTCAGACATGAAATCAATTTGTCTTCCAACTCCCACGAAAACGAAAACGAGCCAAAACCCGGCAAATGCAACAGCAGCAGCAACCAAAAACAACACACACAAAAAGGGGGAACCCCACCAGACCCAAGGCCCTAAAACGAAAACGGAATGAAAGCAGCCAGCAAAACTGCTGCGGGACAACAGCTGCAAGTCCCCAAGATCGGTGCGGATCGAATATGGCATATCCTATGTCTATAACTTGAACTAAGAAGAGTTTAAATCTAAAAAGAATGTAAAATTACTTGGCTCCCCCGTGTGGGCCGAAGTTAAAGAACCCAAATACCCTAACCAGTTTTTTAATTGATTTTTGTTTAAATAATTAAATATTATAGGGGAAACCACTTAATTCCAATAATTAATTCATTATCATAATCATATCCTCCTGGATCCTTCATGGCTTAGAGTTTGGGAACTAACCAAAACAATTAATATTAAGCTGTTCTTCCTTAGAGCCCATTTTATAGGGCATCAAATGGCAGGCAGCCAGGGAAGGATCCTTATCCACATCCACATCCACATCCTTCTCATCTGCAAGTTAGAGTCGTAGTCAAAGGCAGTCATGTGGCAAGACACACACACACACACACGGTTTCTGGTGTTGCAATAACTTGTATTTTAAGTTCACTCACTGCTGCCTGGAATTCACAATTTAATTTCATAGCGCGATGCGTTGTTATTATTTAGCATAATAACATTTTCCGTTTACCCTTTTTCGCAGTCTGTTGATTTCGTGGCCAGAAATTGGGGTTTTGGCAGGGGTATATTCTGACCAAAATGGTACTAGCTTGGCCGATTGTGCAATCGAATGAGGCCTATTAGACGACGCCGTTGGGCGTATTAGCTGGATGCGCAAAGGATACGGAAATGGGACGGGATTGGAGATGGAAATTGGTATGGACATGGACCCTGGACCCCATACAGGAGACACCAGACACCAGACACCGCCACCACACACTAACTGCCTAATCAGCATTCCGATGTGCGCCCAGTGGTGTGCCAGTGTTTAGCTGAGTGTGTGAGTGGATTTTCGTTTGGGTTAATCGAAATGGGACCGATGGCAGCGACAGCAACGACCACAAATCAACGCTGCTTCCGGTTGTCCGCCACATTAACCCAATAAACATGTCCATCTTATCACCGTTACCTGTCAAATTAAGGACAGTCTCTATATATCGGAAATCGATACTAGTCGTAGTTGCTAACTTGGTAATCGATTTTACCTAAGGTGTTATTATTTATCGATGATTAACCTTTATTTTGAGATGCATTTCATGTGAATTTAGCTATATTCTTTTTGAAATATCGATTAATACTACAAAATATCGATCTATATTGGTGGTAGTAAACCGATTATGTATCATAGAATTAGTTCTGCTTGCAATTTGTTTGTAAAGGGAAATTATTTATCGATGATGAACCTCATTTGGAAGTTGAATTGCCTTAGTTCGATATGTCAACGCATATTTCTCATTTTAATTTTAATCCCGTGTATTGATATTTGTTATATCGATTATAATAATATAGTTTCGATATAACTCAATTGATTTGTAGTTATTTTATTTATAAACTTTGATAATCATACACTTTTCCCAGGTGAATTTCCATATCAATATTTCAGATAATATTTTAAATTTAAGTTTTAATCGTTTTCATCGATAGTTCTTAAGCTAAAATATATCGATCATCTAATTTAGGGTGCCAAATACTAGGAAACTTTTAAGGTCAAGTCAAATACTCAGCTTTCACACACATATTTTTGGTGTGACGTCTCCTAACCGCACTCCACATTAAAAAATGATTGCCCCCGTTTAACCCGAAATCAAAACATAACAAAAAAAGTAAATAATAGGAGGAAGAAAAGCGCTGGAAAAGCTGAAAAACACACAAAACTCGCAGCATGGGTGCCACATAATGGCTGGCTGCCACATGGGAGGAATCTGGATTGCGGGTGAATCTGTGGAGAAAACCAGTTCCGTGCAGCGGGTTTTAGAGCGTCGGAATTGTCTATTTATTGACAATTCACAGCACGCGCCGTGCAAACAGATCATCAAAGGTTATTACGGTCCACGGGCTCCTTCCCAGGCTCTTGTTGTTGCTGCTGTTGTAAATAGATTCATAAATAAAACTACAGCCAAAAAAAAAGGAAAAATAAAATACAAAAAAAGTAAAGCCCGACAAGTGAAAGTATTGTACTCGACTTCATGTGCCAGGATAGAAGGATATATGCATGTCTAGGTGGGGACGAAGGCAACTTCTTCAGTCTGAATGTCAAAGTTTGAGCCTGGCAGCTCTCTTTGAAATATTCATAAGTCTCGGCACTAAAAAAAAACTTTACTGCTTTGTAAAAAAACTAGAAGATAAGCTGGAAAATTTCAATTTTAAAATATATATTTTTATATGGTAATTAAAGAAAATATATATATATTTCCTTGGGTATTACAGAATATATATTTGTTAGATTTTTGATTAATGTTTATTCAGAATTATAATATATGGTTTTAATATATTTCAGAAGTGCAATATAATATTTCTTAAATGGAAGAATAAGTAGGGTTTAGTGACAATTTAAAGAAATGTTTATTTATATATAATTCACTTAATATATATTTTTTTAAATATTTCTGTAGTGCAACGAAATACCTTAACTATTTCACACCCGAAAAAAACACACACGCACACACATACCGCGTTGGCAGTCATAAAGCAATAAAGCGAAATCATGTGTAGAAATTTTTATAAGTTGGGTGTATCATCAAGGATCCGACAGCAAGCAGAGTGAGAGGCACTTGTGGCCAGGAGTGCCGAGGACTTGCCACTTTCTTTTTGCCCAAATCCCGGCAAGGAGCTTAAGGTTTCAGCTCAAATGTTTTTTTTTTCTTTTTCGTTTTTTTTTTTTTCATCCGACTTTATTTTATTGCTCTTCTTATATTTCCCTGAGTTTTTGGCCAAGTTTTTTGGGGAGCCAGAGTCTTGAAGCGAATCCAAGTGCGTATTTATTGATAACGAAATCCTTTTAACCTTTTTCGGTTTGAGTCAAATCTTAGCTAAGATGGGAAATAATTAATATATTTATAACTTGGTAAATTTGAGAGATTAAATAGGGAAATATGTAAGGGTTTTTAATATAAATAAATAGCTTAAATATTGTTTTATATTATAGAATATACAGAAATATCACATTAATTACCTTAAAAACTTGTTTAAAAACTGCTGAAAATGCTTAAATACTTATTTTACATTTTTAATTATTATATATATTATTTATACAATTTTAAAAACCAAAACTTTATGAAAAAACCTTCAAAATATCTTCACTATTCAATCAATAGAACTTTATATGAATATTATTATATATAATCCAATTACCAGGCATTTCCGTTGATGTCTCTGGTCAGGCTTACACAACTCCCAGTTGAGGCAGTAATGAAAACATTAACGAACTCACTCTGTTTGCATCCAAGTTTTTCTGTTTGTCCAGCGAAAATATTGAATATGAAAAAACCAGCTGCTGCTGCACTTGACCGATCGTTGGTTGAGATCCAAGTATATATAGGACCAACTGGGTCCATGGTTGCCATCAGTTCAACTTGTTCAGTCAGTCATCTAACAATAAAAAAAAACAACCAAAGAAATCAACATGCGCATCTTCTTCCTTGTTGCCCTGCTCGCCGTGGTGGCCATGGCTGCTGCCCAGGGACGTCCTGGCGGTCCCCAGGGTGGTCCTCCCCAAGGAGGTCCAGGCGGACGTCCACGACCGGGAGGCCCGGGTGGACCACCTCAGGGTGGACCAGGAGGACCTCCCCAGGGCGGACCAGGAGGTCCGGGTGGACCAGGAGGACCGGGTGGTGAGGGACCTCAGGGACCACCCCAAGGCGGTAACTCCACCTCATCTGAAGAGTCCTCCGCTGCCTCCTCCGAGGAGAGCTCCAGCGATGCATCTGCCTAAGAAAGAAGCCACGGTGATCGCCGAATCCCAGAGTCAAGCTTCCACAACTGTTTGAATATAAAGATATATATGTATATATAAATATATTCCGTATATTTCAAAAAAAGGAAACCCGTCTGTCTCGATTCCATTAGCCATTGAAATTTGCATTTTCAGATCGACGCTTCCGCCCCCAAAAAAAAACTGAAAGTAATGTCTGAGTCCTGGCGAGGTGGAGCGGAGCGAAGGGGCGTGTCTCAAATCGGCTGCCTAAATAAGAAATCATTTTATTTGAAAAGTTTCCTTTTGGCACGCCTGCCTCCCTCCTCACCCCCCTCAAGCCGGCGACGTCTGCGACATCAGGAACAAAAAAAAAGCAACAAGAGCAAGTAGCTGTAAAGGATAAGGACTCTTGAATACCTCTTAATTTTTATTTACAAACAAAAAATTGGAAAAGAAATAAATAATAAAAAATAAAAAAAAAATTCAACGATTTTTTACTATAATTTATATACAAAATGTATAACTATAAACTAAGGGTTTTTAAGATCAACGTTTTGACATTAAAATAATACAAAAAAATCACAAAATAAAATATATTTGTATTTGAATTTGAATTCGTTTACCTTAAAATGTATAAAAAATATTTTAAAAGCTAAAAATAAATTTTCCAGTAAGCTTGTCTTACTCAAAACATTTCCAGATAGATTAAATTATTTCTCTGAATTTGATATCCTTTTTTAAGTAAAAAAAAAAAAAAATTCCAATTGCTTAAAGTTCCTTAAGGTCAAAAAATTAAATATTAGAGAGTGATAAACAAAAAGTCCTAACTTTGCCTTTCGTGGGTATTCTATTACCTGAACAATTGAATTATTTGCCATTTGCCGTGAATCTATTTATGATATCCTTAAATTTCAATGGGTAAACCCGAAGTACACATCCTGTCAGGGGAGAAAAAACAACAACAACAACAATAGGAGTAACAAAATAAGAGAAAAACGAGAAATAGCAAAGGCAACAAAGTTAAACTGTAACAATAACCAAAGTCAAAGTTGGTCGGCAAAGTTTTCAACTTTTTCGTCCTTGTTGCTGTTGTTGTTGTTGTAGGCGTGTGTATGTGTGTGTGTGTGTGTGAGTGTGTGTGTCTGCAGGATACAAATTCATTTCAATTGTTTATATGTAGAGAAATGGCTTGAGTGGCTTCAAGGGGCTAAGGAGGGAGTTGAAAAGTGGCAACAACGAAGAATCTGTGTAAAATGAGTTTGGTGTTTTTTTTTTTCATTCTTATTTTATTTTATTTTTGTTTCTGTTTTTTTTTTTTTTTTTTTGCATTGCTGTTGTACTTTCCAAGATGAAACAAGTTTCACGTGGCTCTGGCAAACGCAACTCCTCCCCTGGGCCAGCAGGATCCGGGATCGGATTCTGGGGCAGGACATGCCGCATCGCATACCTGCAGACTTCTTTCGCTTCACTTTCTTTTTGGCAGCGAAATGCCAGAGAAATGCAAATAAAACTTTTCGTTGTTGGTCTTTTTTTTTTTGTTGTTTTTTTTTTTTTGCCTTTGGCTTTTTTACAGCCGTGGTTTTAGCAGCTTAACCCTTCTAACTTCCACCTCTCAAAACGGAATATAAAGAACAAAACAAAAAACTAGAGTACAAAATGTGGCAATTTGGATTTCACTAAAAATGCAACGAAAATCGTTCAAAATTCAAGTGTTGGAAAATGCAGAAAGGTAAAAAGGGGTTAAGAATTTGAGTTAGTTGTTTAGTTTAGTTTAAACTTAAATAGTTTATCATATTTCCGAATAGTCAAATTTTATTCTGTAAATAATGTAATTAGGCCAGACTTTTTGTAAATTTAAAAAATTTTTAAATATGTATTTTTGTATTAATTTATAAAATAATTTTAAATATCTCGCCACTAACTAATTCAAACATTCATGTTTAAAGCTAGACGGAATTGGGAATTATAAATTAAAAATTTGGCCACTTTAAATTTAAAAATTTGCTATTTTTTGCTTAACATTTTACATTTAAAAAAAAAACGGCCATTCCGTTTCCTAACTGTTCATTAACAACGTTCGACACTTACTCGCTTCCTCCCACTCCCACGCACGCCTTGCCGGGCAGCCGGCGGCGGTTGTTAGAAAGAGAAGAGGAAGACGTGCTGCAGACAAACAACAGACAACAAACAGGATGAGCAAAAACTTAATTAAGCATTTTGTTGTACGTATGTAGACGAGACGAGGCTGCAACAAAACAAATTCCTCTTTAAATAAAGCACCGAAGCAATTTATTCCAATTAACAACAACAACAACTTTGGAGAATGCACATGTGCGTGAGGGAGATACATATACATATACAAATGTATAAAGGAAAAAGGGATGGAATGCTGCAGGCATCAGATGGAAATAATTGAACAAAAACACTTTCCAACACTGCAAATGACAGTTGGGCAAAAATTTCGACAAACTCCTCTGCGTGCGGGAGTATGAGGTAGATAGGAAAATTCCAAAATAAATAAATTGAAAGTAAATGCAGTTTAATTTAGAAAAAAAAAGAAAACAAATAAATGTAAAAAAGGCTTTAATTTGGAAAAAGAAATCATTTAATATGTATTTTATTTAATTTAATAAATACCTATTATTCTACAGATTTTAAACATGAAAACAAGGCTTTAATTCTTTCAAGAATTGTAAAATAAACAAATACAAATGAAAAATACAAATATTAAATTTATTATACGATTTTCACACCCTTTAAATCTGCAAAATTCACGTGTTTAAAGAACGTGGCCCACCTTTATGTACAATCCAAACCAAACAGTTGTTTAAACATCTCCCCATCGAGAATATTCTTCCGGCGCATTTTCACCTCGTAAGCAAAGGCGATTGCGAAGAAATAGCCATTGTTTCATTACTATTATTATTATTGATGCCCAGCAAATAATAAGTCCACTGACGCTTGGCCAGTTCAACATTGCATTAAATAATCATCGGGTGCCCCTCTACTACATATATCTGGGCTGTTGTGTAAATATTTTCCACACTATGTTGACTTAGGAACCAGGTCCAGATCATCAGTTATTTCGTTTTACGTAAGGCAAAATAATACAAGACAAGACAAAGACCAATACACAGAAACCAAAATAGTGGCAGTTATTTATTATTATTACTTATCTTTGAACTTATTTAAATGTAATAATTTAATTTACAAATCAATGTCTATTATTAAGCTAGAACACTTGGCTACAATATTCTCAAGTTTATGGTAAAATAGATACAAAAACTTGAATGTAACTTGGCATGTTTCTCAACATTCACTGCTGCTGGTTAGGTATATGTTGCCAATAACATGTTTCTCAACATTCACTGCTGCTGGTTAGGTAAATGTTGCCATTAACATGTTTCACAACATTACTTCTGCCAGCAACACAAACATGTTGCACTGGATTTCTAGCATACTTTTCCACGCCATTTGCAAGGAAATGTTTATTAAAAATATTTTAAATACATAAAATAAAGAAAATTATTTACTTAAGATAAATTTATAAGCCTAAAATAACAGAATATCTATTATTAAAACATATAAACCAAAATTTCTTTCACCTTTATCTTCTTTTCTCCTTTGATACTTGAAAATCTTACTCAAAACTTTCCATAACTAAGATCGTGTGTTCTGCCCCGATACGGATACATATATTTAAATTTTTGCCTCAGTGTCATGAAACTCCAGCCAACAAGGCCAATGCCAAATGCGAAGTACTAAGCAAGTAAGAAAGACTGGGCGAGTGAATGGAATTTACCTAATTCCAACTGACGTTAGTTTACTTAGTGGAGCACATACGTCACACCCGTGGAACACTTGTGCTGGAGGGCAGCAGCAGACTTTCCCCAGACTGGGTCCGGATGATGTACTAGTATATATAGAGCTGTCGTGGGAATGTTGAGATCAGTTCGAGTTGTTCGCCATCCGATAACAAAAACACACACATTAAAATGCGCATCCTTATCCTTGTCGTTCTGCTTGCTGTGGTCGCTTTGGCCGCTGCTCAAGGACCCAGAGGTCCTGGTGGTCCACCCGGACGGCCTGGCCAAGGACGTGGCCCAGGTGGTCCAGGACGTGGTCCGGGCGGACCCGGAGGTCCAGGCGGTCCAGGCGGTCCAGGCGGTCCAGGAGGTCCAGGTGGCCCAGGACGTGGTCCCGGCGGCCCAGGACGTGGACCCGGCGGCCCAGGTGGCCCAGGCGGTCCAGGTGGCCCAGGACCATGGGGACCACGACCACCATGCAACCAGACCACCACCACCACGGAGGCTTCCACCTCAACCAGCAGCTCCACCACGGAGGCCAGCACCACCACCACGGAGGCCAGCACCACCACCACAGAGGCCAGCACCACCACCACAGAGGCCAGCACCTCTACGGAATCCACCTCCGGTTAGATTCCTTGAACTCGTCCTTCTACTGCTCTTGGCCTGGCCCAAGTCCAGTGGTGCTTGATTATATTATAGAACGAATCTGTGCATATTAAAAAGTGTGTTTTTTTTCTCACAAAAACTAAAAGCAAAGGGGAATTTAAAGGATTTTAAGAAGATTTAAAATCATCTGACAAAGGTGGTTAAAATGATGCTACAAAATATTTTAAAGTCCAAGTTTTCTTACCAACTTCGGGCACATACTTTTGGTTTTCATTTTAAAGAACTTACAAACCGCAGCCTTACCTTAGCTTAAATTTACAAATAATTTAAAATACAAGCAACAACTTAAGAGGCAACTAAACTGTGTTCTGGAAAATTCACAAATGATTTATTTGAATATGCAAATATTCAGCTAACATAGCCCGAGTAATTGTTTCTATTTTATTTTTTATTTTTCTCAAGTAAAAGGACAACAATTCCTACAAATTAATAAAGAGTTGTTCAATGAACAAAAGAGCAGAATTTTGGAAATGATTTCTTGTTGAATTTTACACATTTGCATGGCAATTTGAAGAGGCATCGAGGCTTTTAGTAGGCCATCCAATTAACTTGGCCAGCAATGTGAATGCATTGGCAAGGTGCCCATCAATTAATCACCAGTTATTAGAAATTGCACGGTGAAAGCGATGCAAAACAATGGAAATTCGTATAACAATAACCAGGTAACCAGGTGCGCGGGCCAATTGCTGTTCATATCCATCGAAGCCTTCGGCAGTTCGCGGTTATATGTACATCGCAGGCCATTGTCCGCCTAATTGGGTATTAAATCTAGCCCCGGACCCATCTCCGGTTTACTATTTAATTGTATTTGGTCAATTTCCGACGGACCACGAACGAAGCACCACAGCACTTGTTAACTTGTTTTCCAGAAGGGCTCAAACCGTCCCCAGAGAGACCGAGAGATGAGCAAGGAGCAACAGAGCAACGGGATTAGGTGGCATTAAAAGTTATGGAACAACAAGATTATGGCTTTTGCCATAACAAACACAACCGACACACACACACTCAACTGGGGTGTTTTTTAGGGAAAGTTATTGAGGCAGTAAATACTCTTTGTTCAATAATAAAATCTAGGTAAAATTTGGTTATTTTTTTATATATTTTTAAAGGATAAATAATGCCTTTCAATTATGTAAAACATGATTATATCTTCATATTTTGTTATTATATTTTTGTAAGAACTTTTTTCCCAAGATGTATACCTTTTTAGTGTTTTATAATTAGAGTTTTAGTTATGAATATTCATTTTATATTTAATAAATTAAATATAAATACAAACAAAGGTGTACGCTTTATCTTTAACTTACTTTTTACTGGCATTGCTCTGAAATTCCCAATAGGTTCTAGCTACCAACTGTTGATATTGAAATTAATAATTTTTGTTTAAAATAACTTACAAAACTATTTTAACCGAAATATACCCTGCCATAAATTAGTCCAGGCGGCAATCATTCTGCCATCCATAATCCATAAAGAAGACGAAAGAACTTTCTTCAACTCTAATGAGGGGAAAAAAGTGACCTCCCACTGCCAATACCAATATCCTGACTAATTATTTGTTGACCGAGATAACACAATTATTTTCGTTTATTTCATATTTTTTACATACAATTTTTTTCTCCGATTCAAGTAGCTCAAGAAATTTGAAGGGACAACTAACTATTTATCTTAGTTCCTTGTGGAGTGGGGTCAATGTCAGTGGGTCGGACCGCGAGCCCATTAGCCACGTCCTTATCAAATCACGCTTCATCCGTTTAACAATTAGCACCGATAACTAATTTATGGTCAGGATGCCGCATCTAGGATGCGGGCAGCAACAGGAAAGGGGAAGAGGAAGCTATAGCTTGGAGTCCCGGAGCTGCCGAAGCCGAAGCTGAAACTCAAGCTGAAGTGGAGTGGATTGTTTTGGAGTGGCGCCAAGTGGAGTGGAGCATTTACACGTAATAACAATTACAAATGCGCGCGCGCTCCATAAATCAAGCGAAGCCATCTCTCGTGGACACATCCAGCCCCTCGTCCTTATCCTTCTTTTTACAAGTGAGAGAGAGAGAGAGAGGGGATAGAAGGAGTGTGGAAGTGAACTGGTCAGAAGTAGCGTACCAGTGCCAGTCCCCGGTTCCCATCTCCTGCTCCTGGGAGCACTAATTACAATTCAGGACGCGTTGCACTCGAAAGTTGTTGCTCATTCAACACTCGACTCCGAGCGATGAGAGCTGCTGCTTCCACGGGGCAGGACCTCTTGGTTAAGGATCGGGGATTGGCAATGGCGGGTGGTTAACTTCAAAGTAGCATTGCCCTGGCGCCCCCCCAAAAGTGTTGTTGTAATTAAATTATGTGCCAAGTGACGTTCTCGGAATTGTCCCCTAGAACCATTACATAGTACACTCAAGAAAAAAAGAGTATAAAATATATAATATGAATGAAAAACTATAATTATATTTTTGTAATACTTTGTTACAGCTTTAACATACTTTTTACTGTCATTGCCTTAAAATTCCCAATAGGTTTTAGCTACCAACGGTTGATAGTCATGCTGAAATACATAAATCTTAGGTCTAATTCCAATATAAATAAATAATGAAATAATTAATAATAAATAAGTTTACTTTAGTATCAATTTGAGTTAAGAAATATTTAGTTTTGTTTAATATATTACAAAGAATTCATTATTTCTGCGAGTGCATTCCGACTCTAGCCCTTCTCGTGCACAAGAAGTGTGTATCCTGGCCTGTTGCCTGTCGCCTTTTCGCCCCGTGCCATCTCAGATGTTGTGGCAAATTAAGTTTGCTTTTGTTCTAGATTAAAAAGGCATTGAAATGTCGACGAGGACGAGGAGCAGCAGCAGCAGCTGAAGGGCAGGCAGCAGCAGGAGCAAAGGGACGGCTCATGATGATGACTAGTGGGTGGATGGTTGGTGGTAGTAAGCGGCAGTTAAAATGACGCCTTCGGCCAAATTTAGCTAACTTTGTTAAGTTTGTTTTGGCCGTGGGAGTTGAATGCCGGCCGCATCCAAGGGGTGCCCTACCATTGGATGATGAAGTGCCCAGACGGCCATAGAGCCACAGATATAGGATAGCCAACGCCGAGAGGGGGGGACTGAAATGGGCAGAAATTAAAAATCAACTGCCGGGTGGGCCAGAACCAAGTCAAGCCCTTAAGTAGCTGACCAACTGAGTAATTGAAGGAACTAATTGGAAACGAAGGATGGTTTGGCTGGGAATCAAATGCGAAGGAAATAGGACTAAAAGACTGAAGAAGCACGGAACAAAATATTGATAACAATTTTTGAATAAAAGGGTTTTAATTTTTCTATATAAACAAATATATATTTTGTCTCTCTTAATTTTTTAATAATAATAATTTAGATATTATATTATATACAAAAAGACGTAAGGTTTTTAATTATAAATTGTAAAAAAATCTCTATAATACATATGTATATGTATATTCAAAATTCTAGTGTAAAGATGCTGATGAACAGAGGGATATAATTTTAAAAATATTGCCACATATTTTTTTCCACAGTGCTCTCTTATCTCTCTTACAATATTTATAACCACTTTATTTAAAAATGGATGTGACTTTTTGTGCTTGTTCCGAATCAATTTAAATTAAATGTCTAAATAATCTGAGTCAGTTGCGAAGTGTCGAACATCTTTAAGCAATTTAAGCCTGTCAAAAAATGGCACAGAAAATAAGAAGAAGGTCACCTGGCCTTCGTAATATATATATATCCGGGGGCAGGACTGCATGCTAATGCAAGGATTCAACCCAATTCGGATGCAGTCCGCAACTAAAATGAAAACGAAATTAAAAGTGCCAAAAAACAATATACGAATTGCGAAGGATTTACACACACACTAGCCTGCCAGGCGATTCTATTTGGCATTTGAAATTCCACGCACATATTCCATTAAAGTCGTTGGCGTAATTTTAATTTTGGATTTGGTCCTTTTTACCCGGAAGCAGAAGCAGAAGGAGCGACAACAGCAGCAGCGACAGGATTAGAGTAGCAGCAGCTGCTTTAAAGGACCAAAGAAGGACCCGAAGGCCCGAAGGAAAAATATTAAAGGAACGGACTCGCAATCAAATTGAAATTTAATTTGCACAACAATGTGGACGCGAGGGGCAACACTTGACCGGAGGAACAGAAAACAACCGTAGTCGATAGCCCCGTGGCCCGAAGCCCGCAACCCCGAATTATTAACCCCGTGAGCAGCGCCTCTTCGTGGCAGTCCATAAAATTGTGATTTACTCCCGTTGAGATTTCAATTACTGCCGCTTTATTGGCAATAAATTTCCGTATAAATTAGGCAGAGGCCGGCCTCTCCAGCTCCTCCTCCGCAAGGTTTCGCAAGGGTTAAGGTTAAACAAAGCGGCAAGTAGACGCACGTAGCCCGCATTGGGAAAGGTGAAACCGGCCAGAAAAGGTCCTTATTTTTCCTCTTTTCTTTTCCTTGGTGAACACCAAAGACAGTAAATAAACCAGAAAAGGTTCAACCAAATGATATACGACTGGTGAATACCCAGTGGGGTTATTGGAAATCAAGAAAGAGACAATTGGAAAAACTATCTATTGAAAAAATAGCTTTGGAAAAATGATTTCCAAAAATATTCTCCGTCCAAAGTTTAGTTTGTAATTTGCTTAATTTTTAATTTTTAATATTTTTAAATATAGTTTTTAATAGAAAAACCAACAAAAGACATTAGTAAATGTATATATGTATATATATTTATTTTTTCAAAATAAAATTCCTCAAATGTATTATCCATCCGAAATTCATTAAGTAATTTTCTTTATCTAATATTTTTAGTATTTTGAAATATATTTTGCTTTATTTTTAATTTGTACTATTTTAATATGTATTTTGTATCATTAAATCACAGAAAACATACATAAATGTCGACTCTTGCCATATTTTTTCAATATAAAATTCCTCAAGAGAAAATCGACTATTTTATATATTTCCCTCTCTCCTATCTAGTATTCCATTTCCATATTCCAATCATGCCCTCACCTAATTAGCTTATAAACCTATATGCTTCCTTGGATTTCCCAGGATAGCATGAATAAAAATTGATTGGCATGCAAATAAAAATACAACGATTTCCTTGGGCACGTCCATGTCGTCATCATCGTTGTTTTGGGTGGGAAATCCACTTGACGACTCTTTAAATCTCTGCCCAGACAGGAGTTGTTTTTGTTTCGGCTTTCCTTAACCTCTTTTCCCCCGCCTTGTTTTCCATTTTCCTTCCTTTTTTTTCCCCTGCTGGCATGGCGGAAAATATCAAAGCCGCTTCCGTAGCTGCCAATCACGGAGTTGCCGCAGGTGGGGGAGGGGCAACATCCGTTCCTGAAACCCTAAACAATTGGCTCCTTCTGGGAATACAGTAAACATTTCTCTTCGATTCGGTGCTTTATCCTGTTTATATAATTGATGGCATTAATGCTCGGTTTATGAGAGATTGTTATGTGTATACACAAGTGTTTATTGTGTGCATTAACCTATTGCTTATCCACAAATCACAGTAGATTCCCTTCGTCCCCCAGATCTCTACAGAAACTGTGAGTCCGCGTACAGGTCACGGAATTCCAGCAGCTGATCCAACGCAGTCTCATACTCATCACGTTCCAAACCGGAATTCGAGTAGGCCTGCAGCTTGGCCAGCTGCACGCGATGCGTCTGTGCGTGCAGGTTGTCCAGGTGCTCGCCCAGATGCGTTGAGTTCTGCAGCGCGGCCAGCACGGGCGCACAATCCACACGGGTACCCGCCTCGCGTTCCGCTTCGCCAGGCAGCCGGAGGCCGCTGCCGCTAAAGGCGGCACCAAAGACCTCATACGGAAACGGTAACTGTGTCTTCAGGGGCAGGGGAGTGGCTGCCGCATTGGTCACACTCCCATGATAGCTGCACTGGTAGTAAAGCTGCAGCATTTGGGAGACACTGTCGCAACCGTAGGCAGCCATCCGAAGCTGATCACCGGCCAGCTCTCGGGGCCGTTTCAAACGCTCGGCGGGAATGCCGCGAGCTGTCACCGATTGGACAACATACGAAGCGCCTGGCTCACAACCCGGCGTCAGCTGGGTGAGCAGCGCTTGGCCGCCACTTTGATCCAGAAACTCGATCAGATCCTGGCCCTCCCTCAGCCCGAAAGGTAAAGCCATCCCTGCGGCCGTCATTTTTCTGCCCGCGGGCGACACTGCCCCGCAGAAAAGGCGCAGGGATTGGGGCGTGCCACGCAGCCGATAGCCTAGAGTGGCTGTGTCCAGGAAAGCGGCCAGCAGGGCCGACGTCTGGTAGAGATTATCCGCCTGCCAATGCAGACCCTCAAAACGCCGCGACTTGAGATCGTTGTTGCGCCAAATTGTCTCCAGCGTGGACAGCGGCGTAAACATAGTGGCCTGCTCGCTGAGATGGTGGTAGCTCAGCACACTGTTTACTACCCGTATGCCGTGAGACAGCCGGGAATCTGCAGGATGGCCATTGAGGTATTTAGACATGAATAACATAAATGGGCGCGACTATAGACCCACCTGCTTGGGCATAGGATGTGATCCGGGGATAGTGAAGCGGCACAACAAAGCTCGCACGGCCGTACTCGTCGTTCAGATGCTCCAGACACTTCCCGGCCAGGCCAGCGAAGCCGTCATCAATGTCGTGCAGCATATGGAAGCCCTGCAGGCCGTCACACTCCTCCACATACAAGCGGATGCGATCGCAGAAGTCATCGTTGAAGGCGGCGCCCTGCCAGAGTTCCGTGCCAGCGGAATATGTGCCCAGGCACTGCACGGCCGGATCCCTAACCAGTCCAGGCAGTATATTCAGCGTGCGCGGATGGTAGCGCGCGTACAGAAAGTCCGCCCAACTGCTCACCGTCTCTGCCAGCTGATAGTTCTTCTCGGGCACCACGGCGTTCTTCAGCAAATCTCGCTGGTACTCGGAAATCGCCGCCTGTGGCTGCTCCACCACGTCTAGCTGTTCGGAGGCCGACACACCGCTCTCCTCGGCCAGCTGGCGAGCCTTTTGCAGCTTCTCGCCGGTGCCCAAAGGCAGCAGCTCTTCATCCCGCTGCACAAAATTACCGTACAGCTCGCCAGCGACGGGGAGGTGTGCCAGGGTGCCGGCCAAGTCCACAGACAGCAGCCGCGGCGTGTAGGTGGTGCGATTATAGTCGTTCAAGCCCTCCCGGTAGAGGATGTCATTGTGGGGCAGCTGCTCCTCGGCCACCTGGTCGCTTTCGTCGCCGTACCTGAAGTTTGCCTCCTGAAAAATTTAATTTTGTGTGATTATCAAGGTGGCAGGCGGACGGATAGACTCACCTGCTGGTTCCAGAAGTGGGCGCCCACATAGTTGGCGTAGGTTCCAAACTGGAAGGTCAGTATCTCACGTGTATGCTCCATAGCAGCCGGCGAAAGTGACTAATTCGGATGCAATTGTTGCGCCGAGCTATCGATGGCGACTTGCCTATCGTTAGAGCTATCGATAGGTGTAAGGGCAGGAAACATGTGACACGCTAATTTATATCCTGTAATGTCTGTGTATTCAATGTGTTAGATAAAAGTAAACATTTAAAAACATGTTTTTATGTCCACATAAATATTTTCACAATTAAAATATATTTTACTCATATTTAATAGTAACATCACATTTCTTCATGTATTAGAGGTTGCCTGAATTGTTTCTAGCCTATCACACCCCACGCAAATACCCTTTAACGGAGCGATAACCAAAACAAACAGCAAAATTCATATGTAAGGCTATAATTTCGATTTTATTTAAAGTCAGGGCTTCTTTTCTGACTGCTTCTTGTTGAGCATCATGGACACGTAGCTGTTCCAAATGAGCGCAATGACCTGGACATACAACACCTGGTAGGAGAGCGGCACGAAGGAGAAGTTAATCACCTGCGCCATCGGCCAGAGCATGTAGTTGCGTCCGAGAATGGTGAAGTAGCTATCGCGAATGCGACTCTTGACCTGATCCATGGACTCCCCGTTGACCAGCGGCACCAAACAGGACATGGCCAATGTGAAAGGCGGCGCGAATAGGACCTGATCTGTCAGCATCTTGCGTACGCCGCGCTGCATCGCCGGCAGCTCCTTGGGCACCTTTTTCTCCAGAAAAAGGTACCAACGACGTACCACCGGTGCGACGAACACAAAGCCCAAGGCGCTAAATCTCAGCGTTCGGCCGGCGTCCCAGTCATCGAGGTCCTTGTTTTCGATGAACAGCTGGGCCCCTGTGTCGCCCAATCCCATTATGGCCGCCACGTTCAGGCCCTCCCTTAGATACGCCCTCAGTGCCATCGTTTGTGTATGATCCTCTTTTTCTTTTTCTCCAGCACTCAACTTAATTGTTATTTAATCTCAAACTTTTCGTTTTCTCGCCGCAAATTAGCATTTTCACGTGTATTTTTGGCAAGGCTTAGACTTTGGGCAAAGGGTTGCCAAGTGCCATCAAATATTTAGGATTTCCTAGAAAATCTAAAAAACAAAAAAAAAGTGTTGAAAGCAACACTGCTGCCAAAAAGGACAAATAATTACTGTTTGACAGCTAAGTTCTTTCCACTCTTTCCAAAAATACAAAATAAAATATATATATTTTAATATGACGCTGATAAGCGAAAGAGAAAACAAAGAGAGCGAACGTATCTTTAAAAATATCTTGAAATAGCGGAAGCCCTCTGCTATTATAGAATCCTGCAGGGATTTAACTGCAATATAAATATATAAAATCTTCAATATTTACAGTTTTTATTACATAAATTAAACTGATGAAAAAAAGTCTCTTAACAGGCAAACAGGGTTTTTGCCCTTCTTTATTCGCCCAGTTAATGTTGCTAACCTAATTTAAAACTACTTGAGGTGATATACATAGTTTAGTATATTCTATTCCTTCAGCTTCTTGCGCTTTCGTGGCGTGGCTTCCGCAACAGAATCCTCATCTTCCTGCTTCACCACCACATCATCGTCTATGATCACGCTCTCCTCCCCGCGTTTGGCCTTCTTCTTTTTCCGCTTCTCGGGTTGCGACTTGGGCTCCTCGGGCTCGTCTTTAATGGCAACAAAAGAGTCTTGAAGGTTAGACGTCCCATTTACAAGGATTTCCTCATTTGATGTAGGCTTCCTTTGCTTTTTTGGTGTCGCGGGTTCCGCTACAGAATCGTCATCTTCCTGCTTCACCACCACATCATCGTCAATGACCACGCTCTCCCCTCGTTTGGCCTTCTTCTTTTTTCGCTTCTCGGATTGCGACTTGGGCTCCTCGGGCTCGTCTTTAATCACAATGAAAGAGTCCTGAAGGTTAGACGTCCCATTTACAAGGATTTCCCCATTTGATGTACGCTTCTTTTGCTTTTTTGGTGTCGTGGGCTCCTCCTTGATCTTCACCAGATTATGCCCGTTGGTCTCTTCGGGCTCGCGCTTGATCTCCACGATAGGGGCAACGGGGTGAAGCACACGCGGGGCGGCTGTTGTTCTCATGAACTTGGGCGTGACTCCAGTGACCACCGATTGCCGCACTTCAAGCTCCTTCTCCTCCAGGGTCTGTGCGGTAATCATAATTTCGCTCTTCAACGTGTAGTAGTTAGCCGTGCGTCGCAATTCGGCCGACGTCTCCACGCTCTTTTTATCGGCCTCGTCGAGTCGTTTTTTAATCGCCGCCGGCACTTCGATGCGTTTCTTATAGTCCCGGCCAAAGAAGGGATGACGAACGGGCAGGTTGAGTTTTGGTGGCGACGGAGCGGCTGGAAATTCGGAACCGGGATCTAGCGGATCCTGTCCCTCCTCTTCAGGCTTATGGGCATTCAGGCGCTTGCTGACCACCACTAGGCCGGAGAGAGGCAGCTTGCGCAGCGCGTACTCTCCGCTGGAGTTCACGTAGCCGACGGCTTCGTTTAAAGGCGTCTCGTAATTGGTGGCACGAACCTGGAGATCACCAACGTAACGCCGGCCGGGCAGCTTGATCCGCTTCCCTACCAGCTGCTGGAGATCCATGCCCTTGGGGCACTGCATCAGCCAGGCATCGTGGGTTTGTTCATTAAAGTTATCGAAGGCTTTGGCGCAGCAAGGTCGCAGCGAAGCCTTCGGATCCAGTTCCACATAGTCGTTATCCTCGAGGAACTGCTGGAGCAGCTCCTTGGCCTGCCGGCGGGCACTCTTCTTGTCGTTTTTTTCCTCCATGGACGGGTTAAAAGGATAAATTAAATTCTCGGAGGAAAATTTGTTAAAAACAGTTGCACGTGCTGTGGTGCCAGTGTTGAAAAGCGGACAATCGACTGGAACAGCTGTCGGCTTTTAGACAGCCTGCTGTTATCGATAGGTCCGACTGTAATTTTGTGAAATGTATCAAAGAAAACTATTGCTTAAATTTATGTGCTACAAAGACACGGCAAAAGCTTCTTGAAAAGGGAACTTTGTTAACAATTATATTTAATTTTAATTAATGAATTGGTCCCACCTCAGTACATCGATGTATCGCATATCGATAGTAACGATAACAATATCGATGTGATAGCATCTGCCGTTCTTTTTGTTGTTGGTTCTCGTAAAGCGTGCTGCGTATTTTCCAACGTTTTTCGCAGATCTCTTTCCGAAAATGGCCCAGAAGACCCAGAAAATGCTACAGTTCCACGAGCTGGAGCTGGACCAACGCATCCTCAAGGTGGGTACATACATAGACACGCGGCTGGAAAAGATGTGTAAACTGATTTCGTCGAATCTTTTCAGGCGGTGTCCCAGATGGGTTGGCAGCAGCCCACGCTCATCCAGTCGACGGCGATTCCTTTGCTCCTGGAAGGTAAAGATGTGGTGGTGCGTGCCCGCACAGGTTCCGGCAAGACAGCCACATACGCCCTGCCGCTAATCCAGAAGATTCTGAACTCCAAGCTCAATGCCAGCGAACAGTGTGTGAGCGCTGTGATCCTGTGTCCCACCAAGGAACTGTGCCGCCAGTCGCGCAACATAATCGAACAGCTGGTTGAGTCCTGCGGCAAGGTGATCCGTGTGGCTGATATTGCCGGCAGCTCCAACGATGCAGTGACACAGCGGCATGCACTGGCCGAGAGGCCCGACATCGTGGTGTCCACACCCGCCAAGCTGATGGCCCACGCTGAGGCCGGTGGTGTGGTGGATCTGAAGCATGTGGAAACACTGGTGGTGGACGAGGCAGATTTGGTGTTTGCCTTCGGCTATGAGAATGATTTCAAGCGGCTGATCAAGCACTTTCCGCCCATCTACCAGGCGGTCCTTGTCTCCGCCACACTCAGCGACGACGTGGCGCGAATGAAGGGTTTGTGCCTCCATAATCCCGTTACGCTAAAGCTCGAGGAGCCGGAGTTGGTGTCGCAGGATCAGCTAACGCACCAGCGGATCCTAGCCGAGGAAAACGACAAGGCGGCCATATTGTATGCCCTGCTGAAGCTGCGTCTAGTACGAGGCAAGAGCATTATTTTTGTGAACAACACCGATCGCTGCTACAAGTGAGTATAGATGGATCTCCCCTGGAGTTTTGCCTTTAAGCCAATGATGATAAACCAAACGAATGCAGGGAGTGGGCAGCTGGCAACAGTTGGCGCACGCATGACCAGCAACTAATCTTCTCGCTGATGGCTCTGGCTTTGCCCAGATATCTTCTTTCCCTGGCCCTCTCCATGACCCCTTTCCTAATCACAGTCTAATTTCCCCACTTGCAGGGTTCGCTTGTTTTTGGAGCAGGTTGGCATCCGCTCCTGCGTTCTGAACTCTGAACTGCCGGCCAACATACGCATACACACAATAAGTCAGTTTAACAAGGGCACCTACGACATCATCATTGCCGCCGACGAACACCATCTCGAGCAGCCGGGCAACTCTTCCTCCTCCTCCTCCGCTTCATCTAAGCGTAAATCCTCGCGCAGCGGTGACTTTGAATCGAGCGCCTCGCGTGGCATTGACTTCCACTGCGTGAACAACGTGATTAACTTTGACTTTCCGAGGGATGTCACTTCGTATATACATCGGGCTGGCAGGACGGCCAGAGGGAATAATAAGGGATCGGTTCTGTCCTTTGTCAGCATAAAGGAGGCACCCGTTAACGATGCCGTGGAGAAGAAGCTACGCTCCTGCTTTGTCACCAAGAAGGACGAGAATATCATCAAGTAAGTGCTTTTTATCCTTAATAATTGTAAATACTTATCGTGTTTACTGCTATATCTTTGACAGAAACTATCAGTTCAAGCTGGAGGAGGTTGAAGCTTTCCGGTACCGTGCCCAGGATTGCTGGCGCGCCGCCACTCGTGTCGCTATCCACGACACCCGCATTAACGAGATCAAAACGGAGATACTCAACTGCGAAAAGCTTAAGGGCTTCTTCGAGGAGAACAAGCGGGATCTGGAAGCTCTGCGCCACGACAAGCCCATGCACAGAATCAGAGGGCTCAGACACTTGAGCGATATGCCCGAGTACATAGTGCCCAAGGCGTTGAAGCGAGTTCGTTACACGACCACTGGCAGCAACAGTGGAGCTTCAGCGGCCAAAACGCCAAGACAGTCGGCCGGCAAAGCGGCTTTCGAGCGGCAGAGCAACGACCCGCTGATGGTCAGCCAGGTGGACTTTGGCAAGAAGAGGCCGGCCCAGCGGCGGAAAAAGAACAAGGCGTTTTGAAGGATCAACGTCCTGTCGGGAGGGAGGGGCCAACCTTAGTCTATATCAAGTCTAGCTTTAAATCACTTTTCAAGCTTGTTAAAACGCGAGTGTGTGCTTTGAGAAATACAAATTTAAACCGAATTGAATGCATATTTTTATCCTTGAAAGGATATTTATTTTTATATATATATATATTTAAATTTAAATATTTTCCATTCAGACAGAGATAACAAGCTCACGCTGTTGCCTGTCCCTTTCTAACCTATTGCCAGATGAGCGTGGAAAATTTGTTCATTAAACAAATTGCCGTGTTCCTCCACCCGATCGTTGCAAGTAATTTCATTCATTGCGGTGATGATTGCCACAGCAGCTGGAAGCCATTTAAGCTCAATATACCCCAATAGAGGTGACTTTAATAGCCTCTCCTCCTCCTCCTAGTCTCTCCTCCCCGTCTGAGCATTCTCAGGTAACAAATGACCTTTAATTTCCAGCTTGTGACTGGCCTTGTAGATCTGTAGATTTTAGTTTTCATACCTTTAATTAGTAGAAAAGATTACAGATCGCTCTGAATTATCAAGAGCTTAAGTTGGAGGGGGTAAGATTAATTCCCTGCAAAACTGCCTACTTTAAAAAAAAACCTTGTGACGAAACGGCTAAAGTTAGCTTAATGAATTCAATACTACATAATGCACAACATTTGAGCAAATTTTTTGTTTACATTTTTGTATTAAAAAATATGTACAGGTCTACATTTGATAGGGAATCTTCAGAGTCACAAAAAAAAAAAGAAAAAAAATTGAGCCTTAAAAATAAAACATTAAAAAAATTAAATACCTTACCCCTTAAATTAAAATTGAAACCGCATCCGTTGGTAATTTCGTTTTTAACATTTTATTATTGTCATTGAAATAGTTAACATTCATACAATTATTTATTCATTTATTTATAGCGTTTTATGCAATATAATAATAATAATAATAATCAGGATAATAATAATAAAAAATCGAACGCTTCATCGCTTCCATCGGAAATGATCATCTCAGCTCAGAGATCCGAATCGAAGCGAGAAACGCGAAACGTAAACGGTTATGGAAATGGGTAACCAAGGACAGACGACTATTGTAGTAATGACTTTTATAATATCGCTTCGTTAATCGCTAAATTAAACATAATACACATAAATATATATCTATATATCTATATATATGTATATAAATAGGTAGAAACGAAACGAATCGTTTTATCGTACGTTTAACACATCATGTTTACGTTTATTTAGGTTATAGTTATAGGTATGCGCGGTTATCCCCGGGATCCTACTGCTCCCTGGACTGACTGACTGACTGACTCTCTCTCTCTCTCTCCGGCAAACCAACATGAAATCGGAGTTAAACAGATGATGCTGAGGTGCTCAAGGTTCTTAAGATGCTGAAGAATCGAATGAATCTAGAATCTAAAATGCAGCCATACAATGTATCTCTATGTATATGTATATATCATATATCAGGGCACGTAATCAGCAATCATTGACTATCTTGAAAGAGCATCCAAATTGTGGCCGATTGGTATAATTCGTATTTTTGTGCGGCTTTTCCAAGTGGGTGATAATAATCATAATCATTATTTACGATCCCTGATATACATATATAGATCTATAAACGATTTTTGCTCTCATTATATATGTATTTATATATATCAATTTATGCTTTTACTACAAAAAAAGAGGCTCGCTACACAATTCTCAATACCTTTTTTCAATACTCCTCTCTCCGTTTCCGATGGCCTCCTTTCCACATAGTTTTGCTCTTTTTCTTGTTTTTTTTTTTTTTTAGTTTTTAGTTTTTCTTTTTCTTTTTAACACACATACAAAGAGAACTCGTTTTATAGATTATTGTTTGCAACAAGACGTAAAAATGTACATATTTTCATTAAAAAATGACCGGCGCGTCGTCTTCTCAGTTAATTGAATCGATTTTGAATGTTGTTTTGTTTTTATGTTGAAGATCCTGCCGCTGATGATCGATAATCTCGCTTGCCGGATCACAAGTCTTCATATATAGATATATATATATATAAACGCGAATTTCGTAAAATAGTTGAAAAATGACCACAAAGCACACATAACAATGTTCTTCTCCTTGCGCTTTGTGTGTGTGTGTTTTAGGGCCGGAGGATGCGTATGTGACTGGGTGAGTTGGCGATACCCTCTCCGATTTCGGTTCCGAGCAGAGGCGCCGCCAGGCAGGCTTCTTAGATGGGCACATAGTTGCCCTTGGGCTTGTAGAACCACTGGCCGCGTATGAGACGGCGCCGGATCTCTGACATGAGCAGTCGCTTCTCCTTCTTGATCTTCTTGAGCACACCCTTGTTCTCCTGGGCGCGGCGCGACAAGTACGGCAGGACCTCCTCCACGGGACCGTACGGTATGTACTTGTACGCCGAGTAGCCAGCTTGACCTGCAAGAAAAAGGATTAGGGATCATCATCATAGCCAAGGGGATCATCAATCATCAATCATCATACCCAGCGGGAAGGTGATGTAGTCGCACATGCCCAGCAGTTGGCCAAAGCAAATGACCTTGTCCTCCGGCGAAATGCCAATCTCCTTCATCTGCTGAATGGCAAAGCGCACGGTGTCTTCGTTGTGCGAGGCCACCATAATGCCAATCTTTCTGGCATCCTCAGACGAGTCCTTCATCAGCTGGAAAATACCAAAAAGGGAAACAGCATGAATTTTGATTTGGAAATGACAATTTTGAAAGACAAAACCCACCTTGATTCGTCGCAAGCACTCGGAGAGCGTCTTGTGGTACATAGCCGTGGTGGCCTCAAACGTGGGATTCACCGGATCGGGATAGCCTAGCGCCTGCGCACGTGCTCGCTCCTGATCCATGTAGGCGCCGCGAACCAGCTTGGCACCGAAATAGAAATTCTGTCGCTTTGCCTGCTCCATATCGGTGTTGACCTCACGGAACGCTTCACGCAGATAGCACTGGTACGTGTTGAAGACGATGGCCTTGTCCTTGTTGTATTTCCGCATCATTTCCAGCGTGATGCGTGAAATGGCCGGCTGGAAGTATGTTTGCTCAGCATCTACCATGATGCGAACATCCAGATCGGCAGCAGCCTGGCGAGAGACAAAAAGAAGGCCAAGTCAGATGGGATTCAAAGACTAAGCGCATCGCTAGCGATTTCATATACCTTGACAATCGTGTTGAGGCGACGGATCATGTTCCTGAACATCTCCTCCTCTTTGGGCGGTATTTGTGAGATCAGTCGACGCATCTGGCCGGTCTGGGGATCGGGCACACGGAAGGTGTCGCTCAGCTGCGAGTCCTCGTCCACGATGCCCGACCAGGGGAACAGATGCAGGATACTGTCATGGAAGAGGGATAGATGATTAGATGAGGCGGAAATCGTAGAGGTTTAGTCAAGAACTCACCCTTCCTTGTCGGATGTCACATTCTTTAAGAAATCCTTCACATTCTTATTGTCACCCAACGAGGCATAATACTTTTCCAAATCCTTGATGGTCTTGTGGTGGGTCAACACATTGCCCTCGCCGCCGACCATTGCCTCCATGTACTTCCGTGTGCGCATAATAACCTCGGACAGTTGCAGCTACAAAAAGAGGGCGGAAACTTATTAAAAACAGGAAATTGATAGCTTATTTTTTATTATAAAAATGTAATGTAGAATTTTTAAGGTTTTTTAAGTGTGAATTTTAGGCACAAATACTCTGAAGTTTTTTCTTAAACTCACCAGCAATTGTGGACGGCCGAGGGCGGTGAGTTTGATGGCCGTAATGCCAGTTCCAAAGGTGGCGCCTGTGGTACATTTTTCCAATCGGTTTTTTGGAAATGGAAAAGCATTGGAAAAAGAGAGAGAGATTGTGATGAATGAGAGAGGCGGTCTCAGGGCAAGAGGAGATCAAAAGCGGTTTCTACGGGTGGTAAGGACACATGCAACTAAATAATAAGGAACTAGCTTACACTACAAATATGGATATTACTAGGAACAGTTAGATAGACGACACAGGTATAAGGTTACAATTACGGATACAGATCAAGCCTTCAGTATCAGAAATTCCCGAGAATTGAAGCCATTTCGGAAGAAATTCCCATAGATTTTCGGAAGGAATTTGTTCAGAGCTTGACCATGAAGTCGGGAATTCAAAGTTCCTAAGGAAATCCTTAGGTAATTCCTGCAGAGTTCTCTAGGAAGTTTCTTGGGAATTCTTGAGGATTTCGCCAGGAATAACTTCGGGATATATTCCTTAAGGAATTCTGGTACTGCAGGGCGGATATAGATCAAGATACAGATACAGATACAGATACACACACAGACTACGATGACGACAACAACCCAGCAGACAAAAACTTCGTAAAAAAATATTTAAAACGGAAGTTTTACGGATCTTAGGCGTACAAAACGTCCGATTTTAGGCTCAAGAACGATAAGACAGTAAATTACCTGTCCTGGGGTTTGTGGCAGCAAAATCTATCATTTCCGGAATCCGAATAAGATTTCGATTGCGGACCTTTTACGATATCATTATCGGGTATAATCCTGAGAATTCGCGATACACGTCCGGTATTCATCCGTTTGCCCGTCCGTTTTTGAGCATTTAGCGAAACTAATGCGGAATATCAGAATCTTTGTCCGTCTTTAACATTTTTAGCGGACATTTTCGGACCCATCCGCACTAAGTCCGCTGTTTGTCTGCTGGGAAGAGCTAGCTACAACACACACTAACTTGACCAAAATGGGAAACTTCTTGCTCTGAAGCAGATTATGGCCATCAATTAAATATTTGGATATATGTTTATTTTATAATTGTGTGTGTGTGGTTGTCGTATTTTTTGGTTACTCGGCTTACCCGTGGCCACAGCACGGGGCACTTTCTGATCGTCGACTTTTTCAATTCAAATATATATTTCATTTTTGATTGGGTTTTATTTTTTGTGTATGGGATTTCAATTCGAGGTTTTCGGTTTCATATGGATTTCATGCCATTTGTTTTTGGGATATTTGCGGTTTTCATTTCGATTTTGATATCGGGATAGCGGGGCAGAAGAAAGAATTTATTAATAACTCAATTAATTAAAAGTGTGGCTTCAGGTAGCGAGAGATAGAGAGGGGAAGAGTGTGTAAGGGAGAACGTCTAGCAGGGATCAGATCAGGCCATTGAACTCTGCATGCCTTTCACAGCTCCTGGGTACTACATAGTTTTATCCCTTTTAATATAAAAATTCCTATTTATCATAACAAACGGACATGGCTAAATCGACTCTGCTGAATATATATGTATATACAATCATATATCTTCACTGCATTGCAAACTTCTGACTAAAATTATAATACCCTGCAAGGGTATGAATATGTAGCAAACACTCTTTTACACCATTAAAATATATGTTATATAGATTATTTTTTATATTTTTACCAACAAATAATTTCAATTTAAATTCCTGTAAGAAAGCTAAAGTCAATATTCGATTCCTAATGTATTTTTTTTAACTTGAAATTATAATTTGATTGAAATTTCAAATCTCATCTGGTTATTTCTGATTATTTTACTTTTATTATAATATTTTAAGCTGCATTAAAAAACAACAACAAATGCATTTTACATAAACAAACAAACAAAAAAAAAAACAAAAAACAGTGAAACGTTGGGCATGCTGTAATTAATTGATATATGTATACACAAGGAAATATATAGGAAAGTGAGGAAACAACACTGTGGGAAGAGTTGAGGATGTAGCAAGGACAACACTCGCAGGACATACCCGACACGGCCTCCAGACACTTGATGAAAATCTCCATGTTGCGCTCGCAGGTGGCCTCGTTGAGATAGAAGTAGGTGCGAGCACTGCTCACCTTGTAGCGGCGATCGGCAAAGGACTTGTCCACATGATACTGCGGCATGCTGTCCTCCTCCTTGTTATCCTTATTATCGATCGCACTCGAAACGGAAGATCTAACGAGGGTAAAAAAAAATTACTAGCAAAACTCTCAAACCACTTGATGTAAACAATAAAACTCACTCAACTTCACGCTTCTCGGCCTCCTCCTGGGAGATATCCTCCTCAACGGAATAGTCAAGGATCGGCTTGACACCGAACGATCGTAGTCTGTAAATATTTGAATTTCTCATTAGCGCAGGCCTCCAGCAGGACTCTCAGTACACGCACACACAAAAGTATTAGTAAAATAAAAAGAATTTCGAATATGTTTTTGTTAGCCTTTCGAGTGGGACTATTAATTTCGAGTGCAGCTGGGATACAGATATCTCCGATTGTCTGATTGTGGGTGGGTTTTGTTTTTGATCGGATTGTTCAGGTACTTAGATCATACACATGCTGGCGGGCTTAGGGTGTCCTTTGACAAAACTTGGAATCAATTACTAAAGCAATTAGTGAGCTATACAAAAGCAGTCAGAAAGTAGCATAAATAATAGAGCTGGAAGTAAAATCGATTCGATAATTGATTAAACTTCTTGTTTTAATTAATCGATTTAATCGAAAAAGTTATAGAATTTATTATAATTAAATGTAATACATTTAAAATGTTGAACTTTTTACTTGAATTTGTCTATACATGAGTAAACTTGTGAAAAAATCAATTATCGGGTATTTCAATTAACGATTTTAATCGATTTATTTTTAGAACTTCTCAGAAAAAATCGATTCACTGAAAATTAATTTATTTCCAACTCTAATGTAAATCCATATATAATTAAAATGCTTTATTTTGTTCGATTTTGATCGATTATAATCGATGCATTATAAATCTATTTTAATTGCACGTAAAAGTATGCTATAAAAATGCTTAAAAAGCTAAACAAGATCTAAAGCTCCCTTAAATGGTAAAGAATTAACTATTATATTAGTTTAATATTGAACTTTTTTATGGCACCCCTGGATGAATATTTACTTTACTGATACAACCAATAACAAGAATTTGTAATAACAAAGACATAAAACATTATCGTCTTAATAAAGTTAATGGCATTTAGCACTTTTAATCGGCACAAATAATGTATCTACTATATTCTGACTACAAATGTAGAGCCATGTGTTATCGGATATATTGGTGTATTAGGGGGATGCAGCAGGGAATTGGGGTTGCTGTGCATAGGAGTAGAAGGTGGGGAGGTGGGTTAACCTCTCTAGGGCGGGCACGATGGTGTGCCGATTCTCGCCGGCCACAAAGTGTCCGTAGAAGCTGGACTTCATTAGCAGGACGAAGAGTTTCTGGCCGAGCAGGCTGCGAGCCAGTTTCAGTAGCTGTTTATCGGCAATCGGTTGTTGGTAATCGGTAGACGGCAATTGGCGTTTTGTCGATAGTTATCGTGTGGTTTTAATATTTATTTTTTATAGGATTTCCGTTACATACAAGTGTGGGCATTTTAAGCGGGTTTCGCATAACCATTTCGCAAATCGCAAAATGAAAACGTGAAGTAAACACAAAACCAAACGAGCGGCGGAAAGCAAAAGAAAGTAAAAGATACAAGATAAAAGAAACAAAAAAAGGAAAAAAGAAAAGAAAAGAAAAGGCGATAAGTGAGTGGGAGTGTCGTGTTGGGCAATTACCTTTCCAATGTGGGTATGATCTTGATCTGATCCTCGCCGGCGACGAAGTGGCCATAGAAGGTCGCCTTCATCAATGCTGTAAATAACCGTTGACCCAATACTTGCTTTGACCATTTCATAAGCTGCGAAATTTTCGTTTGTTTTGATCGTTTTTATGCGTTTTTTTTTTTAGTTTTAAGAATTTTTTTTTTTTTTTTTTTGTTATTGTAATACATATAGTTATTGCAGTTTTTGTCGTGTTTTTTTATTTGGCGGCAAAATTGAATATTGAATTGAATTTGAAATTATTTTAATTTATTTTGTTATTTGCATATTTGTTGTTTTTTTTTTAAGTATTATTTTTTAAAGATAATAAAAGAGAAAAGGAGGCGTATAGGGTGAAAAGGAAAGCACAGAAAGATACATTGGTAATAGCTGAATTTCCCTCTCTGTCTCTCCTGCATTTCTGCGGGTTTTTTTCTTTTGCCTGGTTTCCGATTCCGAACCCAAATAAATCATTTTGGAATTTGGCCAAAAACAAAAAAAAAAAAAAAAACAAAAAAATCTATACAAAAAACGTGAACGAGTCAAGGCCAAGCAGGCGTTGGCTGCTGCCAAAGTCCAAATTATATTGGTAAGCAGCGGAAGCAGCAAGGAGGAAAAATGCTATGAAAATGCGACAAATATGCTCTACTTGCGGGGGCTAAAATATTTGTTATTTTATTATTTCAGCACTTGTTTTCCAAATCAGGGCCAAGCGGAGTCCATCAACCCGAACAAAAGTCCAAACCAAAATAAACCCGAGCCAGCGGAGAAGGTAAAAGGAATCGAGTAAGAGAGCCATGGCTCAAATATCATCTTAGTTTTGATTATTACATTTCCATGGTCTCAATAAATGTTTTTTTTTTTAATTTCTTCCATTAAGCAAAGAAAATCTTAAGGAAATGCGAGACCAAAAACCAAAACTAACTCAAACACCTGTCCTTAAGAATGAAAAAATAAGAAAATCAAACTGAAATTCAGTTTCTTCCTGTATATTTAACAGACATTAAGAGAACCGGAAGATTCCAGGAAAAGGCAAAAGTAAAAAAACCAAGGCATTGCCCTTTTATTCAGGCAATTGCTGTTGCTCCTCATCCACTCCGGGCACGTGTGGTCAACTCCGTCTCCGGTGCGGGAGCCGTCAGATGAATGGCACAGGGGAGGAGGAACCGAGGAACCGGTTTCGCTGACAGCCAACAGCATCAAAGTAATTAATTGAGTACAAAGCTGGGCAGCCAAATATATATATATATATCTTTATATATTTATATAAAGACAACGACATCAAGCAAAACTGGTTACATAAAATACATTCGCGTTTCGCATTCTATTTCTCTTCAGTTTTTCGGTTTTTTTTCGTCTACAGCTGCTTTTTGCTTTTGGCAAACAATTCGAGAATTTGAGCAAAGTAATCGCACTGAGGACAGGTGTTTGCCGTTGAGCTCTGGCCCCAAAAACCTGGCACAATTGGCAACTGCCACTCATTCGCGATTATCATCATAGCCCGCTTCTTCTTTTTACCACCCCCTCTTTTCTCCACCCCACTCTCTCACACATACACACACACATTAATGCCCATTTTCTCACATCACGAGACCCTTGCCGGTCGCCAAAAGCAATCGACGCGATACTGTAAATAGAACTAGCGAAAAAAAGCAACTAAAAAACCATAAAATACACTTAGCACAAAGGTGTTTTTTTTTAGAGTTTTTAAATTATCTGAGTATTTTTAAAAATGGAATTATTCTTTTTGCACCTCTGAATTGCTTTATAATTTTGCTTAATTAATTTGTTTATTTTTTTATAATCTGTTTAAATTTTCAGACAATTCTTTTAATCCAATTTCCTTAAAATATTTTTAAATTGTTTTTAATTTTTTTTTTTTTTTTTTTTTTTAAATTAATAAGATGTACCTTTGTGAGAGAATTTAATTTAATTTTCTTTATAAATTCCTATAATGTGTATTCCTTTTGTAATATTAAACAAACAAAAAAATACTAAGGTATAACCGTTCTTCCAATTGAACTTCTTTGAATATATTTTGTAATGGTCTCCTATAATCAAAAACCCATTTCCTTGAATTTCTATACAAAATTGATATATATTTTGTGCTGTGTAGCATGGCAAATAGCGGCTGACTAATGCCACATGTGATGTCTCGGGTCTCTGTTCTCGGTTCTCGGTTCTCAGGTAGCTGTGTGGAATATAACTCCCCAAACGACAACCATTTATCCATTTATACAAATTGAGCATGGAGCCAAGAAAAAAAAATATCCATAAAAACGGAGACCGACGCATGCACTTTGAGTAATCGATAAGCAATCAAAACGATTGTAATGCGATAACAACGCCGACGTAATTCAATTGAGCGAGTGAGTGGGAAAGAGAGCGAAGAGCGGGGTTTCCCCAACTATAATACAGCCCCGCATTTTGATTGGCGCTACTTTGGGGGCCTGACTATATAATGATCTAGTATACTATACTATACCTATGGCTATACTATATGGTTTGTGGTCTTTAAGCAAATACGCACGAGTTAGGAGGCACACGGCAACCACCGACAAGGTCAGCTCGCATGCCCCCCCTTTAGCCCGCTGTATATTGTAATTTGCATGGCCAAGTTTCCCTTTTTCCTGCCATCAATCAGTCAGTCTTTCAATCATGAGACTGCAGCCACCTGCCAGAAAACAGCAACAACCAACACACGAGTCAATTAGCCGTGAATTCATCAAAAAAATAAAGAAAATAAGAGGGGTAAAGGGAAACCACCTGGGAAGTAACCGCAAAAAGCGGAAGGAAATGCAAGCACCTGACATGCTTTGCCGTCAGAGAATCAGCAGGTGGAAATTTCGAAGCCAGCAGCTAAAAAAACGAACAGATCGTGGACAGAGCATATAAATTCATAAATAGTGAAATGGGAACAGCTGTTTCAAGAAAAACTTAAGAGAAAACATCATAAAACTCTGAAATTATAAATTACTATTCAATATATACAAAAAATATATATAAAAAAAACATATATATAGTTCAAAGAGTTTTCCATTAATTTCAAACGTAACCTATGAACAACTTTAAAGACTTTTCGAGACAAAAAAAGGGTAATATAATACTCTCAAACTAAGGCCAAAATCGCTTCCTTTTAAGAACCTATACCTTCCCAATTAACTTATTTTCTTTCACTTTTCAAAGGCCTTGAACTCAATGAAAAATCGTGGAAAATTCGCAGAAATGTAGAGACAGAGGCAGAGAGTGCGCTCAGTTAGGCGAAAAAAAAAGCTTAGAAAGAACAGGGCAAAGAGGACTGGGACCGGGACTCGTAACATACAAATACAGAGGATAATGGCGGAAAACTCACCGTCATGTTGTGCTCGACTAGCTTCTCGCTGGAACAGATCATGTAGACCAGATAGGCGCGCATCAGCTCCCACGTGGTCTTGCTCTTGAAGGCGGCTATCGGATCGTTGAAGCTCACGTCCAGCGGATCACGTTGCGGTGATCCAGCCGGCGATCCCGCTGGCGGTGGTGACCTTTGCTGAGTTGTCCGCTTCACCGACTCGCTGGTAGCCACCAATTCCGGCTGAACCACGGTCGAGGCCTGCATGGGACGGTCGCCCGAATGCAGATAGCGAACGCCGCCGGCCCCATCTCCTCCTCTCGCTACTACTGCTGATGCCGCTACTGGAGCTGCTGCCTCTGAACCGCTCCGCCTGCCCCGCTGAAAGCTGCGACAGGCGGCAACGGCCACGGATCCGTTGGACTTGCCGTAGACCAAACTGATGGCTGTTCGTTGGGCGCTCAGCGAACGGAGTAAAGCCATTACAATGGGATGCTTTCTTGGGCGGTGTGGCTTCGTCGGTTATCGGCTGATGGTGTTGTGAATGTTGCGGATGGATGCTGCTCCTTCTGCCCTCCGGATTTTTCCCCAACACACAAGATCCTGGCTGCCTCTGAACGCTTTCTCTTCAGGACTTCGGGTGCAGCTGCTAGAAGCAAAGAGAAGATTACAATTAAAGAATACAAAATTTCATTTTTGAATATTTTAAATTTTAGTTAGAAGCACAAATCTTCCAAATAATCAATTAACTACAGCTCATTTTGCCCCATTCGCGTACAAAATTGGCGTTAATCACATAAAATACTTGGAAATCCAATGAAATCAATTACGGCTTGGCTTGGTTTTTTATAAAATAAATTAACTAAAGGCAGAAAAAATAATTATCACTCGGTAGAGAGCACTGCAAATCCCGATAAAATCTCGGATTTATCACAGCTGATTTTCGCTAGATTTGTCTACAGCTTTTCGCCCGCTCTTCCTCTCTTATTCTCTCTATTTGCTCCCGCCACCGCTCCTCTCCCGCTCAGATGTTATACAACAATTGCGAAAAGGGGAACCAGAGAGCGGGAGCGTGCAAGAAGCTGAAAGAAAAAAAAAAAGGCAAAAAAACAGAAACAAAAAACGTAGCAACACGAAACACACGTACACCTCCGAAAATATTCAATTAAAAACAAATTTCAATTTCTGCGCTATGCTCTAGCCAGCCTTCTTGCTGCTGTTTTAGCTCGTTTTCTGCTGTTCTTCAGGTTCTCTGGCCTTTTTTATTTTCCTCGGTTTTATTTATTTCAGGTTCTCTGGCCTTTTTTATTTTCTTCGGTTTTATTTACGCTATTACGCTTTGTACGCCGCAAAAGCACGAAACACAATGTGACGAAACGAAACGAAAACTAGGGCGAAGCGAAGGGGGCGAATTGGCGCGGCGAATCCCCGAAATGTGCCACGAAGGGAGACCCGAAGTCTGCGAAAATCCTGCTCGGCTCTCGCCGCGTTTACATAACTGTAAACGCTGCCGCCTGTGACGTCACACGCACAGCAAGGAAATAGGACTTGCAACCAGCGCTATTTCTTATGGTTGCCCTTTTGTTTTGATTTAATTTGATTTAATTGAAATGCGACGGCAATACGTTAATTGGTGTTAATTGCGCCTCCCGCCCCACCCCTCGCCAAAATCCTGCTTCCATTAATTAGCGGCCCGCTAATTAATCGCCAGACGAGCGGAGCGAAGAAGCTGCAATCAAACAAAACTTGGCGGGTTTCATTGCACAGATTTCATTACGTTCATTATGTCTGTCTCGCTCTAGCGTCTCCCGAGAGACCGAGACGGAGCGACACCAAATTGCAAATTCATCAGAATCTCTTTTTTATTATTATTTTGTTTGTTGTTGCCATGCGGCGAATATTTACCGTACCTATTATATAACACCGCTCTCTCACACTCTCCCTCTCTCTTTCTATTCGTGCCTCTCTGATGTCGTGAGATCCTTTTATGCCAAAAAAAACACCTACCTTTTTAATTGACCTCTCGCTAGCTCGGCCTCCAATTAAAATATTCTGCTCTTCTCCGTGCTTAAAACGTAGTATTTACTGAGTGTTAAATCGGAGAAAAAATAGTTACAACAATTAGAGCTTGGACCGGGGGTTTTTTGGGGCGGTAAATTTATTGGATCTCCTCACACAATTTTTTCGAGGGGGAAAACAGGGTTTTTAAGTCGTTTTTTTTTATGTTTTTGACAAACGTTTCTTGGCACCCTGTTTTGATGTTTATTTTTTTTTATTATTTGTTTTATTATGCATTTTCTCACCTCACCACACGCGCACACACAGAAAGTAATATTTGTTAAATTCTTTTAGTTAGTTGTTCGGTGTCGAGGGTTTTTTATTTTTTGCTGCGCGACGAGAGATGCGCGAACCAACTGAAAGTTGAAAAAGCGAAACGATTTTATTTGGCCAACATTTGTCTGGCGAAATAGCTTGAAATCGCGAAATTGCAAAATCGAATCGGAATCGAAATGGGTGACAATCGATTTTGGGCAAAGAAAATCTAATCGGCGCCATCTTGTATCTTCGTCCAATTGGAGGCCTGCGGCTTATCTGTCCCAGTTGCAATTGGCCCGGAAAACTAGCTTTTATCAGTGGGTCTCGTGCTCCTCCTTCTGCTCCCCTAGCCCCAGCTCTTCATCGCCCGCCTGCCTTTTGCTTCTTTGCCGGCTACAAATTTGAATTTTTTTTACTTTGGCGGCATCTGGTAACGCTGTTGCATGATGGCAATATTTATCGATAACAATTGGAGCGCATTTAAACTTGAATTCAATTAGGGTATTTTCCATAACGGTTCGGCATTCCGCGACTTTCTTATTCTTAAAGAAAAATTCCAGACAGAAAAATTCTATATTGCAATTCTTAAAATATATTTACACGAAAAAAAACGGTATACTTACATAAGCGTTACAACCAAAGTGGGGATAGGTGAACCACGGGGATAGATGGTATTTTTGCATAATACTTAATATTCCAAGGAATGTGGGCTCTTTTAGATTTCTATATGCAGCAGACCCTTACGTCGAATTGTTCAGACATAATAATGTTAATAAAAAAAGGGGGTTCGCCTATCCCCACTCTCCCCTACATATTTAGATCCAGTTTTTATATCCCTGCAGGATTTTTTAATTTCACACAAAGACTTGCTATGTGGTGAATAAGTCCATTTCGACCCTTTAAATAATATATATTTATGGTTACATCGCTAAAATTGTCAAAAATGTTGTTTTTTAAATAAATAGAATTTAGATTTATTAATTTAATAAAAACTTGCCTAGATATGCTTTCCGAATTTAATTAGATGATTTTTTGGCTTAGTTTTGATAATTTTAAAGTTAGATTTGTCCAGAAAATATCATATAAAAATATAGGAAACTATCAATTTAAAAAATGAGTTTATTTAAGGGTTCTTAAGAGGCCCAAAAAACTGTATTTCGATTTGGCATTAAAATCCACACTTATTAATATAAAATTATTTAATATTTTATAATACATTTTGTTTGACCGATTATGAATTCGTTGCAATTGCAAACTGGAAGGGTATACAAACTTCGGCTTCCCAAAGCTAGCTTTCTTTCTTGTTTATTAAATATTACCTTTTACCTGTTATTTTTTGTTAAAGTATGTAATTATTTTATATTAAATTATGAACCGAAATTCAGAATATTGAAATAACCAGTTCGCATTTGATTGTAAAATAAATTTATTTTTGTTTGCAAATTGTTTGCGATTTGACAAATATAGCAATAAATTACGACTACATATTAGAAATAATAATAATAATTAACATTTAATGAGCGTTCGGTTGTTGTTGTTTTTGTTGTTGCTGCTATGGTTGTTATTGTTGAACGCGGGCCCGATTTTAAAGGAGAAACTTAACAAGAAAACAAAAAACAGAACAAGATATCTAAATAAAAAAATATGTGTATATGTGGGTGTGTGAAATTGATGGAGGAGGAGGAGGACGTGACCCCCTTTATCCATCATAACAACAAGGAAAAAAAAAAAACGATTCGCTGGTTTTTACATAATATTATTGACTAAATTGTAGATCAACGAATGTCTCTGTCTGTCTGTCTGTTTCTCCATTTCCCCCCCGTCGCCACCGACACCATGTCTGAAGATCAAGTAAGTATCGAATTTAGAGGCGCTCTCTTACTCCTAAAATCCCGATTTAGATAGAAACAAGATGATATGCTATGCATATGCTCCTTCTCTTCCTTTTTTGGTTAACAATTTTGAAAGTCCGAAAATATTTGTAATATTCCTGCAACTTTTTGGAGAATTTCTGCATCAGAAACTCATAAATGAATCAACAAACAATAATAATTAAGTGCCAAGGGTAGAGAGAGCATATCTTCCAAGCAATATCAACTATCCTTAAACTTGAACCGTAAGCAAACATACATATATACCTATATACATATAGGTACATTTTTTGGGTTTCGCGACTATCTAGCGTTACTTGTGGCGACTTGGTGTGTGTGTGTGTGGTGTTGCTGTTGTTTTGTTAGTGATGCTGCTGGCGCTAGTTGGACTTGCTGTTCAGCTCAGTGCGATTGGCGGCCACTTCGGCCAGAATGAGTAGATCTGAGGTAGAGGAGGTCATCACGTCGTAGGCCGCCGGCGAGGAGAGCGACAGCGATGTCGACGATGATGAGGAGTTCGAGGAGAGTGGCGGCGACGATGACGACGACGGCGATGATGATAAAGAGGTGGCATTACCGTTGACATTGTTGTTGCTTAACGCCCTGGGCGCATCGCTCTGGTCAAAGTAGTAGCAGCCATTGATGGTCAGCGGCAGTATGGAGGCTACCTCCTGCTCAATGGCGCTGACATCGCGTCGCGTTATGCTCTCCTTGCGCGCTTTGCGTCGCTGACTGCCCACAGCGGCAGCGGCCTGTTGCTGCTGCTTGATCCGGACCTGGTCGCTGGTGGCGGCAACCGATGCTGCTCCTCTGCCGGCAGCTTGAACTGCGGGAGTCGCTGCCGTTCCCACTCCACTGGTGCTGTTCGAGTTTCGTTGTTTCTTGCTGCCGCTAAACTTCTTCTTCTTTTTGGTGCTGCGCTTGCGCTGAAGGTAGGCATCAAGACTTAGCGCCGGCAGTTCCTTAATCTTCTCCTCCAAATCAAAGAAGCCACTGCTGCTCGACTCGGACACACTTCTTAGATGCACTGGACTGCATGCGTCGTTGTGTCGTTCTGGCGGCGAGACCGGCGGTGTATTGGGTGCCGCGTCCAATGAGATGTCCGTAAAGTTGCCACCGCCGCCGAGCATCACCAAATTGGCAGACGACGGAGATCGAGGAGCCTTACTCTTGCTTTTGGCTATGGCCGACAATTGGCCGGAGTTGACCAGTTCCTGATAGATCTTGCCCTTGCAGGAGCGCGATGTCTTTGCCTTCTTGCTGGGCGATAAGCCAGCCGCCACTGCCGCTGCCTCCTCCTCGCTGGAGTTACTAGAGTTGCTGTCCGGTAAGGAGCGCTTGCCGCCGCTTCCGGTCTTATTGTTGCCAGCAAGCGGCATATGGGCGGATAGAAACTGGCTCGTTTCGCTGAGCACCTGCTGTAGGGCGTAATCCTTCTCCGGCACCTGAACCTGCACCTGGAGCAGGGAGCTCAGGTCACCCATTTGCGTTTCGTCTGCAAGTTTAAAGTAGTTGCGTCGCAACAAGGCCAGTGGCACGCCGCTCGCACCGCGCTCTCCACCTGCCCACTGCAGTTGCAGTTGTTGGGACGAAGTGGTCGGATGTGCCTCCTGCTGGGACTGATCCTCGCTGGAATGGAGGACTGTACCACCGGTTGCCGCATTGCTGGGACGGGTGGCCAGCGTTCGCAGCGGCGGAGCCGGCAATTTGTACCACTTGAAGTTGGGATTGGCGTTGAAGAAGGCGTCCTTGTTCTGGAAAGGATTGGACCTTGTTGGGGGATTGAAGCAAGGGAGAAAAACCTACGAGGAACTCACCTGCTGCGCAAGGTCTGTGAAACACTGTTTCTCCTTGTCATCGAGTGCGGCCCACCAGTCGCCCAGTATCTTGGTTATGGCTCTGCAAAACAGAAAAGAGAACGGAGAACATTTAGTCTCTCGATCCACCACTGAAGGTCGGAGGAACCCACCGATTCTCCAGCGTTTTGTAACGCTCCTTGACAATAGCGCGATGGCGCTTGCAGAAGATGAGAAACGCGTTCATTGGGCGGCGGGCATGATGTTCGGGACGGATGCTGACCGCCGATGCCTGATCCTGCTGCTGCTGAGGCTGCTGCGACTTATGTTCCTGCTCCTGGGGCGGCACAGTCACCACATCCACGTCCACATGCTCCTCAGTGTCCTCGCGCCGAATGCGGGTTACCACTTGCTGCACAGGTAACTGCACCTGGATCCCCTCTCCCTCTCCCTCACCCTCCTCCTCCTCTTCCTCTTCATCCTCGCCTAGTTCCTGCTCTTGCTCCTCCTCCTCCTCTTCTTCCTCGTCAACATCATCGTCATCGTCGTCAGCATCGTCGCTACTGCAATCCTGCAGCTTGGCATAGTTGTGCACATCTTCGATGCGTCGAAAGGCATTTTCTTGGTCCTCGGTGCGCTGCGGCTGAGGGTTAAGTAAGGCACTCCGGGCTGCTGCTCCTCCCGGGGACTTTGGCTGGCCAGCTGCTATAGTAACTGATGCAGCTTTAGCCAGCGATGGCTTCTCCTTGGGCACGGGCATCGACAGCCACCGTAGACTTGTCGCTGTGGGTGTGGCCTTTGCAGTGCCACCTCCTGGCGAGAACCGTTTTGTGGCCGCCACTGTAGCTCCCGTAATCCCTTTAAAAGCACCCTGAAAGGCGTTCGCTGCCGAATATGCAGAAACGGGAAAGGATAGCACAGCATCCTCGAACCGAGCTTCGCTGTTGATTGCCCACAGGATAGGTCCTAGTCCTGGCAACGATCTGTATTCTCCTGATGCTGCTGGTGCCGATGTTGGCGACGGTGCTGATGTAACTGACTTGGACAGATGATCCTCGCTCTCCTCGCCTAGGGTGGGCTTGTAGAAGCCCATTGGCTGCGGCGGAATAGATGGAGCAGGAGTGGAGAGGGCAGCGGGAGCAGCAGCAGCAGCTTCACCTGATAATTGTCGTCGTATTAACTCGATTTTTTGCCACCTATTATTGATATTGTTATTATTATTATTGTTGTTGTTGTCGCTCATTTTGTGCTCCATTGTTTTAAGGCCACTGTAGTTGCTGCTCGAATTGTTGCTATTGTTGTTGTTATTGTTGCAGGCAAAGTGCAATTTAATTGCAGCACCTGCTGGCGTCACCTGCTGACCAGCAGCAGCGTTGATCATCGCTCTCGGTCTTGCTCTCACTGTCGCTTATCTCTACGCATCCAAACGTCGATCCTCGCACACATAATACGCTGCAAAAGAAGGGAAAGCGACGAAATTTCCTTTTAAAAACAATATTTCCTCTTTAGTTTATTGGCCGAATTTCACAAATGCAAGAAAACGAACGGGGCTGCCAATGTGGCTGGAAAAAGCCAAGCAAGATACAGAAGCGAAGAGAAGAGAAGAGAGAGAAAGAGGGAGACAAAAAAAACAATTGGCAGCCCCGTTTCGCGATATTGAGTTGTTTACAAAAATTTCTGAGCAGATCGAAAGAGAGACAGAGAGGGCTAAACAGTGCGCTATCAGCTGTGTGTGTTTGTGCTGTTGCTCTCTCTTTTCTACCTCCTTAAAGTTTTCTTAAACAACATACGGATGCACACAATCAAAGCTTGAGTTGTTTTTTTTTTTTTTTATTATTATTTTTTGTTTAATTATTATGACATTTTGTGAGCTATTTAAGGCAAAATCTTTCAGACCCGTAAATAGGTATGTATACATACATACATATATGTACATAGAGACTTACGTACATACATACGATTACAAGCTTTCTTTAACTTGCAATAACTGGGAGTATAACAATATTTGCAAAGATAAATAAACAAGGGAAAAGAAGACAACGGAAAATAAAAGTTACGGTTCTATGATTAAGCCAGATTTTGCACCACTTAAGTTTGCACATACACCAACACACACAGTTTTATAGGAACGTTCTTCGTTCCGATCGATTGGGTTTTAATAATTTAACACACTACTTGTTTTTTGCCTGCTGTTGCACAATTATCTGACAAAAAACAGAGACAACAAATAAATAACAAATGGGAAAAACAACGAAATCGAAAACAACTACTGGCTACGTGTACAGCTGAGCGTAAGCTCGTGTATGAGTGTGTGAGCGAGAGAAAGAGTGACAGAGGCAGAAGGAGAAAGAGAATGAGTGACAGTGAGTGCGTTGCCTTCTCTCTTTTTCGCACAGTTCGCTTTGAACTTGATTACGCCTTGTTGCTTTTATTATTCTTGTTCCGTTTTTGTTTGTGCGAGCAACGCACTGCCTTTGTTGGTTTTGTGCTTTCTATTTTTTTTTTTTTAATTTTTGCGATATTGGCAAGGGTTGGATAGTTTGTGGGTGGGGAGTTGGTAAGCAGGAGGGGGAGGATCGCCAGTGTTGCCACTTGACGTAAAGTAAAGTGCAGCTGTCAGCTGTTGGTTACCGTTGCTTCTTCTCGCTGTTGTGGGGCTGCCAAGCTACCTCTCTCGCTCTCGCACACGCACACAGATGCACACGGTCAAGGCCAAGATATTAGGACGGCGAAGGGTCGGTAGGTGGCTGATGGCAAGGAGGAGGGGCTGGCAGCCGTAACCTTCAAAGGTTTAGTCCCCGTTTTCTAGGTTAGGTACCTTCAAGTGCACTCATTTGATTTTCATTTATTAAATAGGAAAGCAAGAAAAAAAAAACATATATGTACACATACAAAGTTAAGGAAAAAATTCTCCCGCAAATAAAGCACACCCACACACTCTCAAAATCATACGCACACAAACAGCAAACAGCTGATGACGTTTGTTATTTTGTGCGCGTCGCTTATTCTTAAGATTTTTTCGCACAAAACAGAAATCTTTAATGAAAAGCACTGCACTGGGCTTGAGCATAAATAAAGCTACGTTTAAATCGTAACAATCAAAGCGAATTACTTGAAAATCCGCCGTCGAAGGAATAATTGTATCTGCTCTCGTTTAATTAAATTTCAATGTTGATGATGTCAAATGAGAATGAAAACTGACTGTTTTTGTGTTTTTCTGCGGCGGCCAGAGGCGGCGACGTCAGCAGCGACTGTGGCAGCGTAAACGACACGACGATGGGGCGACGGCGGAGCCTCGCACAGTGGGGCAAAACGGGAGAGGGTGGATATTTTATTTAAAAATAAGATTTAATAATTTAGTTAAATGTCAATGTGCGGTATGAAAACGGGTTGCCTTTAAACACACAGGTTCTGTCTAATTAATACGCTTTCTTTTCAGTGCACAATAAAACTTTCAAGTAGCCCACTGTGATGTTGCGTCGCTGCTGACGTTCAATTGGGCGCAGCAGCAACGACAACAATAACAATAACAAGCGTAGTACAGTGAAATGTATTTTTTTTTAATTTTTCTTTCTGCAGGCGCCTTTGTGTGTCTCTCTCCAAAAACAATAAAAAAAATAACCGATTGCCGAGCGAGAGAGCTAAGTGCGCTTGTCTCTTTTGCACCTGCGTGCAGAGCTCATTGGCAATGCTCGCTCAGCTGTTTTCTATTTGTGTTGTTAACGGGAGAATTTTGAGGAGTGCAGCTGATATCTTTCGGGGAATATTTACGAAAATGTAAAAAGCAAGCAAAAGGGTCTAATCCTTCGAATTCAATGGATAAACAAATAAAATAGATAATCATTTGCGTGTGATTCCTAATTAAGCAGGCAGTAAAATATGGAAATTAGGGGTTAACAACACTAAAATTAAATCTTTTTGTGCTTCAAAATTTTAAAATATTTGTAAAATGGTAAACATTTACGCAATAAATCATATTTTCTAAAAAGAACTTTTAAAAATATGAACAACTATTTGTATGTCTTTCTATTGAATGGTCTTCTATCCTTTTCCCTTGCAATAAGTTGATCAACAAATTGTAGTCTGACTGTGTGTGTGTGTGAATATAATATACACCCCCCCCCCCCATAGACACCCCACACACCGATTGCCGTGCGTTTTGTTTTTTTATTGCATAACAACATTTAACAGTTTTGCTCGAACGGTTGCCGATTCGGTTTGTTTGCAATTTGCATTTTTGCCCAAGCACAACAACAATGTTATTGTTTTTCAAGGTCACGCACACCAGCGAACGACCCAGAGATGAACAACACCACCACCCACCGCCCACCGTGCACCGTTCATCGCCGACAAACGGTTCAGGTTTGGAGGTTCACTTCAGTTCGTGGCTCTTCGGCTCTCTGCTCCTCTCGTTTCCTCTGCCTCTTTCTTGCGGCGAGAGAGCGACACAAGCTTGCCAGCAAACTGGCTATCTCACACACGCACACACACATCCGCGGGCTGCCTAACCTACACCTATACATTCACAGTGTGTGCCATTTTTTGGGGGTGACAGAGGCGGGAGGATACCGTTATGCACTATATCTGGCTCTCTCTATCTGCAATCGTTGTTTGTGTTTGTGTGCCAGTTTTCAGGGTCAGGGAAATTCGATTTTTTTATGTCTGCCTCTCGCTGCTTCTTTTCATTCATCATCCTCTTCTTCTTTCTAGCGGCTTTCCTTTTGCCCTCTAACAACAGCAACAACAAACATTGTCAAGGCCAAAATTAAGTGAAGTGAAGAACCCCATTGAAAAAAGAAGGAGAAATGGAGCGACACTGACAACTCAATACACTTTCTTCCCCTAAAATAAAAAAAATATTTAAACCTGATTTAAATTTAATATTTAAAACTTACGAGCTAAAATAAGTAATCTTATTTAATGAAATTAATAAAAATATTATTTATTTTGATTTAATGCTTTTAACGAATTTAAGAAGCATTTCCTAATGTTTAAAAAAATGAATTAGAAACTACAATAATAAAGCTCTAACTGAAAAAAATCGTAAAAAATTTCTAAAATAATATTAATGAATCCATAAAAATCGTATAGAGAAAAGTTTTTTTTTAGGGTTCTTAAAAATGAAAACATCTACTTTTTATAACAATTTAGACTGCTAAACCAAACATTCATTATTAAAATAAAAAAAATTATAATTTCATCGTAGGTAGAGTTTAGTTCTTGTTTTTACTGCCTCTTAACCGATGTTAATGAACTTTGAAAAGGGGACAGGGACCAAGACCACGCCCATTTCCGCAGATCTATAATTATGAGACGCCGCAACACTTCTAGTCTCAGTCTCTGAGAGAGCCAAACAATGATAACACTTATCGCACAAACAACTAGGGAAACTGCAGACAAAAACACGGGGCGGGGACCACACCAAAACGATAAGAAAGAAACCCCTATATATGTACATATGTACATTTAACATTGGGAATATACTAAAAAAAAAAAACAAAAACAACCAAGCCTGACTACTTCAAGTGCATTAATAATACATGTTTATGACATTGATAAATTTGTCTAAACTCTTATTTTTACACATTTTAAATTAATTTTATAATGTACAATAAAATATTGAAATAAATATTAGCTATTGCAGCGACAATATCAACTATTCTCCACCTGGAGATTATCTTAGAGCTTCAAATTAGAGCGAGACAAAGTTGGTGGGGTCTCTAATGAAAATATATTTCTTATTGGATCCCAGATGCTGTTTTCATACAAATATATTTAAAATTTCGGTTTAATAGTCTCTCTCTTTAGAGCAAACTTCGAGAACTACGAATATTTCAGAAGCATTTCATCAAAAGTGTGCTCGGAGTAGGTCCTTTCCATGTTTAAAACTCAGAGTTGTTAAATAAGAAGGTCCTAGAACAGTTTCCAATCAAGATTTGCCTTATTTTTGTATATTTACTTACCCATTTCAACATCAGCAATTTCAAGCTCCAAGAGATCTGCAGACCGCCTTCTAACGCTTCAGGACGTTGATGAAGGTCTCGTGCGGCACTCGAATGTTGGCGAACATGCGCATCTTCTTCTTGCCTTCGGCCTGCTGCTTCAGGAGCTTCATCCGGCGAGTGACATCACCGCCGTAGAGCTTGGCAGTCACATCCTTGCGGTAGGCCTTGATCGTCTCCCGGGCAAGAACCTTGCTGCCGACGCATGCCTGGATGGCAATCTGAACCATCTGCTTGGGTATGAGTTCGCGTAGCTTGAGCACCATTTGCCGGGCAACGCCCACGGCTTTAGAGGCATGGACAATCCGGCACAGCTCCTCCACGGGTTTGCCATTCAGGTGGATATCCAAACGCACCAGATGCGATGGATGGTAGCCGTGATCCTCGTAGCTAAAGCTGGCATATCCCGAGCTGAGTGACTTAAGGCGATCGTGAAAGTCCAAGATGATCTCGCTCAGCGGCAGTACGTACTTCATCAGCACTCGCGTCTCGTCAATGTTCACAGAGCTCTGCTGCAGTCCTCGTCGCTCCACGCATAGCCCGATCACTTGGCCCACATACTCCGTGGGCGTAATAATGGTACCTAGAACAAGCGGCTCGAAGTACTCCTTGACGCTGTTCGGTTCCGGAAAGAGAGCTGCATTCGATATGTCCATAGTGTCGCGTCCCTGCTGTCGTATCATCTTCGGGTTGCTCAGCACCAATCTATATGTTACCGAGGGCGCCGTAATGATGGGCTCGGCGCCGTGCTCCTGCTCCAGGCGCTGGCAGAACACCTCCATGTGCAGCAGGCCGAGAAAGCCCAGGCGCCAACCCTGGCCAAGGGCGGGACTGGAGTCGACCTTCACCGTCACCGCCGAGTCGTTCAGTATCATCTTATCGATAGCACTGCGCAGCGCCACATGCTTGGATTGATCTGCCGGAAAGACGCCGGCAAAGACGAGCGGTTGCTGCGGCCGATAGCTTCCTGCTGCGCTGGCAGCTTGGTTCTTCAGATGTATAGTGTCGCCCACAATGGATTCCTTGCTGTTGCGCATGTTGCAGGCAATCAGACCGACCTGGCCGGCGGATAGATCCGGGACGGAACACTCTGCGGGCCGAAGCACGGAGATGCTCTTTACCGGATACACCTTCTTGGTGGCCAGCGACTGAATGTCCTGGTTCTGTTCCAGGCGTCCGTTCAACACGTAAATCAAGTTCAGGGCACCGCGATACTTGTCGAACCAGCTGTCGAAGATCAGGGCTCGAAAGTCGCTCTCTCGCTGAACCTGTGGCGGCGGCACCACCTCGATAATGCGCTCCAGAACCTGGGCAACGCCAGTGCCTAGCTTGGCGGACACGCGGAGCACCTGGTCAGGATCTATATCGAACAGAAGCTTCATATCCTGGCACACCTGATCGGGATTGGCGTGCTTGATGTCTATCTTATTGAGTACCGGCACCACGGCCAGGTGGCGCTGCTTGGCGAGGTGATAGTTGGCCACGGTCTGGGCCTGGACGCCGTGGCAGGCGTCCACCAGAAGAACGACGCCATCGCAGGCGGCCAGCGAGCGGGAGACCTGCAAATACGTATGAATGAGTAAAGCGCAAATGCGAGAAAAATACTAAAGATACCTCATTGGAGAAGTCCACGTGACCAGGAGTGTCGATTAGGTTCAGCAGATACAGCTGTCCCTTGTGGCGATGGAAAATGGAGGCAGTCTGCGCTTTGACCGTAATCCCGCGCTCTCGCTCCACCTGCAGGCTGTCCAGCACCTGATTTTGGCCCCCATTCCGGGCAATAGCGCCCGTTAGCTCCAATAGGCGGTCCGCCAGCGTGCTCTTTCCATGATCCACGTGGGCTATGATGCTAAAGTTGCGTATACGCTCCACGGGCATTCGGGCGAACTCGTGCAAGAGTTCCGCCTGCGACGGTTCGTCTTTGGTGCTGGATTCCGTCTCGGCCTTGACCGCATTTGTGGTGGCCAGGAAGCGGGCACGCGACACCAGCCAGGCGGCGGGCGGGGTGCCACCCATCCGCTGAAGCAGCCAGCGGTTGGAGAACGTCCGGATCATGCTCCCAGGGAGTTTCTCAGTTTTTGGTTCTTATTAAAATTTACACATTTTTTTCAGTCTTTGCAAAGCCGGCAATGTTACCGCACACCATGTGCTAGGGCTGGAGAAAACACAGCTGCTATCGGGAAAATGATCGATAAGTTGTGGTTTAGTTGGATTGTTTTTCCACTGTACTAAAAGCCTGATTCAACAAGTACATATTTGCACGTTCTTGTACATTTTATAAATTATTTTACCATCTCACCTAGAAGTCGATTGATGTTTTGATCGATTGGTGCTAAGAACATCGATAGTATCCATAGCATCGATTGCAACATTGATTCGCTTTGGTCACACTGCACTGCTATTTTGTTCGTCATTTTTCGAAGTTTTGTTCTGTGTTTTTTATTTTAAAATGGCCGATACAAAGGGCGTGAGTAGTAATTATTGATTATTGATAATTTAATAATCCTGTCAGCTTCAAGCCCATTTGCTGGTCAGCAAGTGTATCGTCGGGCATTTCGGAGCCGCTCCTCGTTCTCTTATTCCTCCCCCCCACCTCCTTTGCACCGTTCGAGTTCAAGTGATTCACACGCACACAGGCACATGCCGGCGGCGTCGGCATTCTTCGTCGGCCGCTCATCCCGTCTCCTTTGTCTTCTTGCTGGCAGAGGCGTCGCTGGCGGTGGCTGGATCACCCATCTCCTGTGACCCACATAAGACACTGACTTTCCAGTGCCGCTAATTGTTTTCTGTTTTTTCTTTGTGGGCCAAAAGCCAAGAGAAACCTCCTCCAGAGGCAGGCGCGTGCCGGGCATGCAAATCACCTTGATTAATGGCTGCTATGTATGTAGCTTTCTAAGACCCAAAACAAATTGAAGCCACCTTTCTTTGAGCTAGAAGGCACTGTTTCTCTATGTTGTGAAGAGTTTATAATATAATTTTATATTATAATATATTATATTATTCTTTAGATTATAGCAGAGGATTTGTTCAGTGTAAATCATGGAGGCTCCCTTATCTCCGCCTGCACTTAAAGCTTATAAATCCACCGGAAGCCAATAACTATTCTGTAATCTCCGCCTTACTACGTACTAACTATCCACCCTTCCTTCTTCTCCGCCTCTCCTTTCAGTTTTCCAGCATCGAGACGCCCGGCTATGTGGGCTTCGCCAATTTGCCCAACCAGGTGCATCGCAAGTCCGTGAAGAAGGGCTTCGAGTTCACTCTGATGGTGGTGGGCGAATCCGGCTTGGGCAAATCCACGCTGGTCAACAGCCTCTTTCTCACCGATCTCTATCCCGAACGAATCATTCCAGATGCCATAGGTGAGTGTCGTTGTCACAAGGTTCTCGTCTCATCCGATAACACAATTTCCATCTCTTTGTTTTTGCAGAAAAACAGAAGCAGACTGTGAAACTGGAGGCCTCAACGGTGGAAATCGAGGAGAGGGGCGTCAAGCTGCGACTTACGGTGGTGGACACACCCGGTTTCGGCGATGCCATCGATAATTCAAACAGCTTTGGCGCTATACTTGAGTACATCGATGAGCAATATGAGCGCTTTCTGCGCGACGAGAGTGGCCTCAACAGACGCAACATTGTCGACAATCGCATTCACTGCTGCTTCTACTTTATATCGCCCTTTGGCCATGGGTTAGTACTGTCCCTGTAGCTCAGCCATTATTCAAAATTCTAACTTGCATTATTTCCCCGTGCAGCCTGAAACCCTTGGACGTGGAGTTCATGAAGAAGCTGCACTCCAAGGTCAACATTGTGCCGGTTATTGCCAAGGCCGATTGCCTAACCAAAAAGGAGATCCTTCGCCTCAAGTGCCGCATCATGCAGGAGATCGAGAGCCATGGCATCAAGATCTATCCACTGCCCGACTGTGATTCCGATGAGGATGAGGACTACAAGGAGCAGGTGAAGCAACTGAAGGAAGCTGTGCCTTTCGCCGTCTGCGGCGCCAACACGCTGCTTGAGGTCAAGGGCAAGAAGGTGCGCGGCCGCCTCTATCCGTGGGGTGTGGTCGAGGTGGAGAACCCCGATCACTGTGACTTTATCAAGCTGCGCACGATGCTTATGTAAGGCTGGAGAGGAAGGCTTTCTACTTGAGTGTCTCTAATCCGCCATTTATCCTTATCCAGTACCCACATGCAGGACCTGCAGGAGGTGACGCAGGAGGTGCACTACGAGAACTATCGCAGCGATCGCCTGGCCAAGGGCATCAAGGGCAAGGAGAACGGTGTGAAGCAGGAGCGCGACAGCGGCGTACCCTCGCAGGTGCTGGGCGAAAAGGATCGCATTTTGCAGGAGAAGGAGGCCGAGCTGCGACGCATGCAGGAGATGCTTGCCCAAATGCAGGCGCGCATGCAGGCCCAGCAGTGAGGAGTGGGACGGAGGCGGCAATCGATAGTTATATACACAAAACAAAACAAGAAAAATCGTATATATAGATATATACACGCATATATACATATACATATATATATTTTGTACGCAGATTTTTTAGGTTGCGATCGCGCTTTAATTCAACTCTCAATTTGTGAAATCGACGGGCGCTAAGTATTCTCTGTATTAATTTCGCATTCTCCATATATACACACATTTATACATTTACATATATATATTCGTAGGATTTAGATATACACACAAACACACTCACATAACGTAACACCTGCCGCGTATGCAAAACGTGTCGGCAATGCAATTGCTCCATCAAAACACTCGAACTTCAACGCGAAAGCGAACTCGAACTCGAACTCTCACTTCATATCAATCCTAAAAGCGAAACACACGATAACTACTGTATTCCTACTATTGTATTTAGACGCGATTGGCAATGGATAATCCATTCTTATTTAGGTTAAGCGAATCAAAGTCGATTTATATATATATATACCTATTACATTGTATGTTGATTCCTTTCTTTGTCTTTTGTCTGTTTACCGTCACTGTATTTAGGTTACTTTTAACTCGATATGTATTTTATGATCCCGATGCGATCCCATCCAAATCCGGATCCGAAATTTTGACACAACTCCTAATGCACACGCTGCAAAGTTTCGGATTATCGGAATTGGTAAATGGAGAAACGGATGGAACAAAGCAAACAAAAGCAAACCCAAAATGTGAAATCTCTTTTTTTATTATGTATATGAAACATTTTTTATCCCCAATATAATCCTCAATGAGTACATATATAACTTTATATGTATATGCTTTTTATACATTTTGTAAAAAAACCAAAAAAAGAAACAGTCCCCTCTTATGTATTTTATTTTTGAACTTGGCTTGGCAAAATCGGGGTTTCGATGTAATCAATAATAATGATTAATATTGAATATTTTTGTACTAAACTGTTATATTCCTGGTATATAGAAAGGGAATTTAGCCTTTAATAGCATATATTAATAGTGAATCAAGCATTACCAGATTAATTTTCCGTGAAAAATCTTAATTTTATATTTTAACATTGCATATTATTGTGCTAAACTATTATATTCCAGGTATATAGAAAAAGAATTTATCCATGTATTCAACATATTAACAGTGATAGCAGGCATTATTTTGATACCAGATTTATTTTCTCTAAAAAGGGATCATATTTTATGATCAATAGTAGTTTAAGGTGTTATATTGCAGGCATATAGAAACGGACTTTAGCTATATATTGCATATATTAACATTGAATCACGCATTACCAGATTATTTTATCCTGAAAAAATCGCATTTATTGTGCTAAACTGTTATATTCCAGGTATATAGACAAATTTTAGCTATACATAGCGTATATTAACAGTGAAAGCTTGCATTATTTTGACACCAGATTAAGTTTTCGTGAAAAATCTCAATTTTTTGATCAAAATATTGCATCTTTTTGTGCTAAACTGTTATATTCCAGGAAAACAGAATAGAGTTTTAGCTGTATATATAGGACATATATTAAAGTTAAATGTTGCATTATTTTGACACCAGATTGATTTCTCCAAAATCCAAAAAAATCCTTATTTTATAGTTATTAGGTCATAAGGAGTAGTTATCACTTGATTTTTCGTTTGACCTTTTGACCAGTGCCTTGACTCACGGGTCAACAACGCTCCAGTGCAGTCACATTTTAATTTGGAACTTGGCATTAGAGAGACTTTTTGAGTATTTTCAAAAAACCCTACAAGTAACGGGAAATTCGTTAAATTTATATGGTCATGCAATCTAAACGTCACTTCCAGGACCTATAAATAAGCAGCCCAGGACAAGGCTCAGCGCAGTCACTCCTCACCTGTTTTTATTTTATTTTTTTTATTATTTGTTTATTTTAATTTTGGTTTTTACTCCCTTTTTGCGTGGCGCTTGTTTTTTTTTTTGAGGGCTCAGTTGAAGGAGTTTGAGGCCCGCGAGCACGAGGAATACTTTTGTGTACTCAGGCCATAAAATATCAAACCAAATAAAGCAGAATCTTTTTGATAAGGACATTGTCTACTATACACACAGTATAACTATTTATTTTTTATTTATTTAATTTTTGTTTATATATCTTTTATATTGATTTATTTATTTATATAATGCTCACTTATAGTTAAAACTACAAGTTGGCTGCTATGGCCTACCGCTCTACTGTGTATATCTTTTATATATATATATCTTTATTTCTAACGTAAAAAAAATGAGGCTTTTCATCACTGAACTACTGTTTGGAATTGAATTTCAGACTGCCAGCTTGGATTTTATAACTTGTAGTCTTTATTTTTAAAACAATACACATATTAATATTGGATGCACTTAAATTCATAATACATATCTATATATATCCATAATCCATTATCATCGGCGCTCACATCAAAAACCTATCATTTATTGATCTCGAGGGAATCGTGTCGAGTTTACCGCTCTCCGGAGCTCCTCGGATTGCGCCGCATCTCAATATCAACCTCGAATCTCCGTCTCCATTCGCCTCTCCATCCCATTCGATTCGATTCGATCCGCTTCGGATCTTAACACATATACATATACGATTGGTTTGCTCGTTTTGGTTTTGGTTTCTCGCTTGCTTGCTTGCTTGATACGTTTACAAAAAAAAAAAAAAACAAGCCCTACAGTACCATAACTTATGGAAAATTTCCCGTTCGATTCCCGGCGGTTCAAATCGAAATACCCGACAAAAATTCTATACATGTTCTGGAGGAATTCCTCAAGAATTCCCAAGAAACTTCCTGGGGAATTCCGTAGAAAATACCTAAGGTATTCCTCAGGAACTTGGAATTCCAGACTTCATGGTCAAGCTCTGAACAAATTCCTTCCGAAAATCCTCGGGAACTCCTTTCGAAATGGCTTAAATCCTCGGGCATTCCTGAGGTTTGGTACTGAAGGGCGTCGACTAGAGTGGGGACTGAGAAATGAACGGAAAATACACACAAGCACAAGCACAGGGAGACACAGCCTGCTGCCTGGAGATCTGCAGCCTGCAGCCTGCCTAGGTGATCAGCCGCGGCGCATGCAGACCATGGACATTCTCGATGGGCGGGCAGTGCGTAGCTCCCGGCGGCCCCCAATCATGGAGGCCGCGCGAATTGGCCAGTCGATGGGTCAGCCGGTGGGCAATGCTAAAGCCACCGCTGCCCTCCAGCTGCGTCAGCACAATGATCACTTGTCTGTGGGTTAAATTCGATATTGGAAGTGAAAAAAGAAATATAAGCATAGGGAATATATAGAGACACACCTTTGAAGCGGAGGCACCGAGTCCACCGTCTTAAGTTCGCCGCGCGTGGACACCACATTGTAGCTCTCCTGGCAGTCGCACTTGACGTGAATCCACTTGTTCTCGTGCCGGTTCTCCACCATCACAACCAGACCTGCCCAGCCCTGCAAAAGATAAGCCTTGGTTTAGGCGATGCTCTCCAAAGCTGCATAGCTCCAACACTGCTACTCGCCTTGGTCAGGTAATAGGCAGTCATGCCCTCGCGCCCCTCATGCCGCTGTCCCTTGGTCAGGGTTAGGCTGATGATGGCATCAGCCAGGAGGTGCGGCGAGGGGCTGATCTGCTCGACAAGCAGGCGCTTGGAGCTGTGGATAGCCAAGATGCACTGCGGATACTGGTGCGGATCCTCGATGCCCGTGTGCCAGTGGTTGAAGGCCAGGCAGACGAGCAGATAGATGTCACGCTCCAGCATCTTGTGGCAGCCAACGAAGCCGCGAACCTGCGAAGGATGGGCATGGGATTAGGTGAGAGATGGCTTTCAGTTGTAATTCAGAGACGAAACTTAGTTACCTGCCGCTTACTATGCTCCACCAAACGACCTATTTCCGGCGCTGCCGGTGATCTGGTGCGAAATATCACAACGCACAGGTCCAGCTGCGATCGCTGCGATTTCTCTGAATTGCGCTGCCCCTCCTGAAAAAGCGTAAACTCCGCCTCCGTTGGCTCCAGGACGGTGAGCAGTACACACGAAATGGAGCACAGCGGCTGGAGTGTGCCCTGCAGCCGGACCTCGTTCCAGCCGGAACGCACCTTGCAGATATCTATGCAGTCAAAGTAGTTTAGGACATCCTCAAACGAGATCCAGAAGACGCCCTCGCTGGCGCCGTGCGGCATTAAAGCATCGCGCAGATCATCGGTCCACAGCGAGGAGTCATCCGACCAATCGCCGCGCCACGAATAATGGCCCCATGGGTTGCGCAGCTTCAGTAGCCGATGGCCCTGGATGTCCTTTACGTCCAGCACGGAGTAGGCGTGTCGTGGCCTCAATCCCTTCTGCTGGTACTCCTCCTCATCCACCTTTTAAGAGGATAAGAATGGGGGATGCAAAGGCTATGGAAACGGCGGGGAAGAGGGTGGGTAAACACTCACCTTCATGTTACCGCCACCGCAGCTGGCGCCCATGAGGAATCGCACACAGCGCGAACTTAGCAGCTGGGCCCAGATCAGGTCCTTGTCCAGCTCATCCTCGCTGGGCATGGGCAGGCTGCTCGCCTGCAGCGGTATGCTCTCGCAGGGCGCTCCCGTCAGCGTGGCCAGTCCCTCGATCGCTCGCCCCGATACGAGAGCTTCGTAGCAGCCATGGATCTTGGCCACCGCCTTCTCGATCAGCGGCACCCACAGCTGCTTGCGCTTGGCCTGCGAGTAGACAAGATGACCGCGCTTGTCGCACGGCAGCAGATCATCGACCAGCACCGTCGTCCATTTGCCGTCCTTGCAGAGGCGCACCTGGTACGCCCCCTGGCCACATATCTCCTTGGTGACCAGCACCTCCTTCACGAGATCCTCCCGTTCCGCCAGCACGGCCAAAGCGCTGAGCAGCCAACAGTTCCCAAGGACGCCCTGGCAAATATCCGAGGGCAGGGGCGTTCGAAAGACCGCCCACGGCGGATACGCACCGCCATCGCAATTGATCTCGTGCGGACGACGCCATTGCACCACGGGATTACCCTCGGCGGCTCCCCCAGCCGGATTGTAGTAGAGGCTCTTCGGGGCCGGCGGAAATGAGTCGTCGACAAAGAGCTCATTGTTGTCACGACAATACTGGATGATGTTCTGCCACTTGGTCAGCGCCTCGGTCTCCTCCAGCTGGCGCAGATTCTCCATTAGCTTGCTCTCCTGCCGAATGTCCGCCGGTGTGAGGGCCACGCGTATCGATTTTCTGGCCAGGGCTTCACCCAAGACAGCGGTGGCCAAGCCACGCGGACTGGAGCAGATGTCACAGACAACGGAAGCGGCACAGTTCTCGTACGTGCATGCCGGACATTGCCACTTTTTGGCAGTGCTGGAACTGGAACTGGAGCTGGCGGTTGGGCCAACTCCTGCAACGGCCACCGAGGCGGAGGCCACACCTTGACCCTGCTGAATATTGTAGCTGGCCAGGCCGGCAATGGAGATATTCCTGGGCACAATGGATCCGCCGGTGCTATGACGCTTGGGTATGGCACCCGAGGAGCTGCGCTGCTGCAGCTGTTGCTGTTGCTGGAGCGGCGGCAGCTGCTGCTGCTGCTGCATCCTGGGCGAGGGACTGCGCGAGCCACGATGTCCTGGCGCCGAAGCCGCTGGTATCTGCAGCAAGGGCATAGGCAGCGAAACAGGTGGCAAAGGAAGATTCAGAGATGTGGGGGTTTTCACCTCGACACCGCCACTTGAGCCTCCAGGAGCTGCACTGGCATCCTGCTCCTCGTATGACTGACCATCTGGGCGTTCACGTACTGCCTCCATGGCCATGGATAGCTGCGGCTGGCGGAGTGACTTGCAGGCACTGCACACCGGCGAATGGAGCGAGTTCTTAAGGGTACAGTGGCTGCAGGTCCAAAACTCGCCCTTGCGCAGCGTCATGTCCTCAATGGAGGAGATGCTCTTCAGCTTGGATCCGCCGCAGACAACACAGGCCATGGCCGTTGAGTAGTTGACCAGTGTGCACTTTTTGCACGTCCACGGCTCGTCGCGGGGTGTTTCTGGAGAGAGTCAAAGGTGGGGATAATTGATTATTAAATCCTAGATCCCTGTGGAGAAGGATAACCCACCTGCCTGCTGCTGCTGCTGCTGCTGCTCCACCTTGGCCTCGCACATCTCGCACGTCTGCAGCCAGAGTCGATTGTAGGCATAGGAACATTTGATGCATGTCCACATCTTGCTGCGGCTGCCGTTGCTGCCTTTATTGTCCTGACGAAGGCCAGCTGCTGCTCCGGCTGCTGCTGTGGCGCTGGCAACTATCAGGCGACCGCTGCCCCCTGGTGGCTCATGCGTGCTGCAAGTTTAGAAATGTACAAATTTCCTAGTGATTAATGTTTAATGTAGACTATAGAAGGGAGTTCAAGCAAAATAAATATGAAATATAAATTAAATAAAATTCAGAAGCTTAAGGGGGAAGGCCAGAAGCTGGAGAAAACCAAAGAAAACGATTTACAAACAGAATAGAAGGCTAGCTGGGAGTATGACTAAGCGCCAGCGCAAATAAATAATAATCAGCAGCAGCAAACAAAACAACTAAAAAAAAAAATCAAAAACAAAAACATTATCAAAACTGATGATAAGCGGAAAACAAAGAGGAACTGCAGGGAACTGGGGGAAACTGGAGGAACCCGGAGGGGAGGGTATCAATTCCCCTGGCATTACATTTTCGATTCGGTCGCCTTGCGTGGTCCCTTCCACACCTTGGCGTAGATAGAATGCTCTTCAATCTGCAGCTCAGACTCGCTGGCCTCGCCGCTGGCACCGCCACTGCCATCGGTGCTGGCTGCTAGCCTGGTCATGGATTCGCTGTTGGTGAGATCACTGGTCTCTCCTCCGCTGCTGCCATTGTTGTTCGCCTGCGTACATTCGTTGCTGGCGCTGATCTGTTGTTGTTGCTGCTTCTTCTTGAGCTTGTGCTGCTTGTTGACTTGCGCGTAAATGGGCACTGAAACTGGGTTATCCGAACTGGCAATGGCCACCGCCGTGGCAGCTGCCTGGGCTGCCTGGGAAGCAGCTGCTCTCAGCTGCTGCTGGGCCAAAGCTACGCACTCGTTCTCATACAACTTGTTGCTGTTTCCGTTGCTGGTATTGTTGCTGCTGCTGCTACTGCTGCTGATGTTGTTGTTGTTGTTGTTGTTGATGCAGTTGCTATGGTGATGATGATGACTCGAACTGGAACTGGAGCTGGCTGCCGCTGGCTCCGACCACTCATTGACGGCTATGAAGACGCCGTTCCGCGGAATGGTGAACTGCGATGGATTCATACTCACTGCTGCTGGCTCTCGCTGCACTTTCCGCTGCAGCTGCTGACCCTGGCCCTGGCCTTGGTTCTGGTTCTGGCTCTGATTCTGGCTCTGGTTTTGGGTTTGATGCTTCTGCTGCAGCTGCTGATGGAGATTCAGGGGCTGGCGCTGGGGCTTCGCCGGATTGTGTGGTGCATCCTTGGTCGCTGAGCGCGAGAGCGTGGTAATGGTGAAGTTGTACTTCCGCTTGGCCCCGCTCTCGCGCACCACCTTGTGGTTCTGGTTCTTATTGTTGTTGTTCTGCTTGCGCCGGCAAAACGTATCGTTGGCGATGGCGAACCGGGAGTTGCTGCAAGCGGCCACGATGGGTGGAGTGCCTGTGCGGGAAAATTTATGAAAATTATGTGTGAGCTTCAAAAGATAATAAATCTTGTATAAGCCGCTTAATAAGAATTAATAGTAATTTTAATAATATATTGTTAATTATATATATAATATTATTTTAGAAATTAAAAATTTATTTATTAAAACCCCTTGAAAATTAATTAATTATGTAGCAAAATATTTATTTTTAATATTATTATTTAGTATTTGTTTTCTATTGTTTTTTTACTATGAGGATTCCCATTAAAAATCACTAGGATCCATTGTAATATTTTACGGAGATAAAAAAATATACAATTAAATTAAGAAATAAAAATGTCATTTAAAAAACTATATGGTAAAAAAAAAAAAAATTTTAAACTTATAAAAAACTAGCTTAACTTATTTGTGTAGCTAAATTTTGGTTATTAATATTATTATAATTTATAACTATTATTTATTATATTTATTATTTTTTATTTGTATTATTATTATTTTTTATAATATTTATTATTTTCATTATATATTATTTTTAATATTTACTATTAATTTATTATTATTATTAATTTTCTAGTCTTTTACTATGAGGATTTCCTTTAAAAATCACTGGGAGATTTTACTAGAGATACAAAAAATTAAATTAAAAAATAAAAAAATATGCCATTAAAAAAACTATATAATAAATGAAAAACATTTTAAAAATGTCTGCCGAAATGTCTGCTCACACCCACCTGTCGTCAGCTGTGGCGATGGCTTAACCTGCGGCAGGTTGAAGATGTCCTTGCTCTGGTTATTCGCATAACAGATGTGACAGCTGCGCCCGGAGGCGCTCTTATCGATAGCAGTGCTTAGGCTTTGGGTGCGTCTTAGTCCACCCGATGCCGCCAATCCTGAACCTGAGCCGGAGCCAGATCCCGATCCCGATCCCGATCCCGATCTGCTGCTGCTTTTCAGCAGTCGCTTGTGCGAGTGCTGGGAATGTGACTGTAGCTGGGGCGGATGCGAGCTGGGATGCTGTTCCTCCTCCTCCTGGTGATTGTGATGGTGCAGCTGATGCAGTTGTTGCTGGTGGTGATGATGGCTATCCGCCAGCAGCTCGCCCCGATTGCCCAAACTGCCGGCTAGCTCCTGGCCCCGATCACCTCCCCCGCCACCGCCGCCGCCACCACTAATGCCGTCCTTGTAGATGGGCGCCAGATAGCTAACCGTGTCACAGATGAGACAATGCCAGGTGACGGAGCTGTTGTCGGTGGTGCAGGCGTGGCAGACCCAACGCCGGTTCAGTGCCGGATTGGAGAAGTGGCGATAGAGCTCGATGGAGCTCTTGATGTACTTGCGCGTATCCTCGCAATCCACACAGTTGGCGGGCAGGTTCTGGCTGTTCCTTTGCGGCCGCTTCAGGCATCCGCGCAGCAGCGACTTGTACACATGCTTGTACTCGCTCCTGCAATAAGGGAAAAGGGTTTCGCTTTTTGGATTTGGATCTGGGATTTGGATGAGCGGGTTTTCGATTATTTCCTTTCAGGACTCGTTTCGCCAGTTCCTCCGCAGCTAAGGTTAACTCAATGACCAGTGTTGTCACTTCAGCTTTTCCCATCGAATCTGGCTTTCTTGCATTTTCCATTAAACTTTTGTTTGCCTACTACATATCAAGTGTCCAGGGTATGAAATAACGACTGAATGGTTATTGTAAATAATGGTTCCTATTTCTTCAACATTGTCAGTTGTTTTTCACCGACTAACCCATCAAAATAAGCTTTTTTACGGTAAAAAGTGGACAACACTGCTCGTCAGTCCTCCGTTCGTCGCTCGTCTCCGCTTGTCCGCCAATCGATAAACTTGTAAACAATGCCTCTTTATCCAAATCGATTTTCCCCAATTCTCGCTGCTCTCCTCGCCCGTTTTGTTGTTGCTTCTGTCGCTGCCGCTGTGTATACATGCACAAACACATACACGCACGAGACACACACACACTCGCTCAGGGACAATCGCCAGTGCTGGCTTTTAAGGAGTTTTTGTTTTTCTTTTTTGTAGCCAAAACTGATCAACTTGAGTGTGGAGAGCTTTTTATGATTTTAATTTCTTTAAAATATTTGGTATGGCTAATTATTATTTGAAATTAATTAATTTAGTAATCATAACGGATATATCTGACACAGGGAGATTTTCCACACTTGCTTTTGTAATCCTTTGCGGGCGGTGTCTGTCCCGAAAATGTGCAGCTTTGTTAATATCCTTCACAGCATCCATAACGGAAAGAGCTCAAGAAGCAATTAGTCGCCAATCATGGGAAGTAAATATTACAGAGTTTTAAGTCTTACAAAAAGTCCTTCATTAATAATCCTAAACTATTTAATTCTAATCAGAGTCAAGCAATCCTTTTGTTTGGCTAAGAAAAATAAATCAGGCAGCTCTGGACCTGCTCTCGCACACAAACACAAAAATCACACACACACGCACACCTACACAACCAGAGACAGAGGAGCAGAAACAGGCTGTTTGTTTTTGTGGCGACCGCTGCTGCTCCCGTTCCCGCTCTCGCTCCTGCTGGCGCTCCTTTATCTGCTCCTGACCCCCTTCTAGCGTCTCCTTCTCTTGCTTACCTGGCAACCGCCTTGCCCTTATCCTTATCCGCCGACTGCTCGACTCCATCAGCTGGCCAGGCTCCAGTTCCAGCAACTCCTCCTGCTCCTCCTCCTCCTCCTGCTATTCGCCGCTGCTGCTGCGTCTGATGCTGCTGAATAGGATTGGGGAAGACCTTGCGCACGGTGCCACAGTTGAAGCACTTGAGCGATTCCGTGGGATTGATCGTGTTGCACTTGGTGCACGACCACTGCAGCACGGATGAGATGGTGCCCATTTCAAGGAGCTCCAACTCCTGTTTTCGTTGTTGTTGTTGCTGCTGCTTCTGTTGCTGTTACTGCGATGTGTGTGTGTGCTTTGTATATGTATATATGTGAATGTGCGTGTGTGGTGTAGGTGGTTGTTGTTGGCTGACTGGCTGGCTGCTGGCTGACTGATGGAACTGGTGGCTCAAGAGGTGTAATGTTGATGTTGATGCTGATGTTGTTGGTGCGGGGTGCGGAGATCGAGGAGATCGATCACAGCCCGGGACCGAAACGAGCACCGAGGCGATTCCAATTGGATTCCAGTCCAACAGCGTTCTCCGTCTCTGTCAGTGCTGCCAACTCGTCGGGTCGTAAAAAAAAAAAGCTTAACTAGCTTTTGAAAATGGCTATAAAAAGCCAAAAAAACTGTGGTGATAGCTAAAAATACATCTAGATTGGATAAAATTTTTGAATTTGCAGACTACAGTTTTTTATTTGTAATTTGTTAAACTCACACGAAGGTGAACAGGTTTTTGTGTACTCCTCTTGCTTAATTTCTAAGTAAATTGCCGATTTTTTAATTTTAACCGTTGCAGCCAGGGTTGTCAACGCGTTGCAAGCCCTGGTTGAGGGGCTGGTCTTGGGACTGCCAACTTGCTTATTTTTATTATTAGCAAATTTTAATTTAAAAAATATAAACATTTTAACGTTGACTGAGCAATAAATTCAAATGTTAATTAAACTCAGTTTTCAATTTATTTTGAATGGGGCGATAGTATGCAAACGATCGATAGTATCCAGATATCGATATTGTCGCGGTGCCTTCGATGACAACCAAATTACTTCCATCTCTAATTCCCAACCGCGTGCGAGTTTCAATTAATCCACGGATCAAACATCCAATTTTGGCCAAGTTAACAGGGAATGCAGCGACAGAAACCCAAGGGACCGGGCAAGCCGGGTCCGCGGTTCAAGCCGGGAACAGGCCAAGTAAAGGGCAAGAAGGAAGCCACAAAAGGCAGGGGAAATGGCGGCAATCAAGGCAACCAAAGGCAAAACGGCAACAACAGGCAGCTAAAGCGACCACGGGAGGACATTAAGAAATCGAAACTGGCCGCCACCGATACTGAGATCGGGGAACTGCGGGCCAAGTATGCCGAGATCGATGCCGAGGCCATCAAGAAGTTTGCACAGTTTCCGCTGTCGCGCAAGACGCTGAAGGCCCTGGCGGAGTCCAAGTTTGTGCATCCCACGCAGGTGCAGCGCGAGAGCATCGGTCCGGCACTGCTGGGCAAGGATGTGCTCGGAGCGGCGGTCACTGGCAGCGGCAAAACCCTGGCCTTTCTCATACCCGTAAGTTGAATCCCTCACTACCTACTCGTAGAAATCCTTATAAAACGGCTTTTCTCTCAGGTCCTGGAGCACCTGTTCATGAACAAGTGGTCGCGCACCGATGGCGTCGGAGCGATCATCATCTCACCCACACGGGAACTGGCCTACCAGATTTTCGAGACGCTGAAGAAGGTTGGCAAGCACCATGACTTCTCCGCCGGTCTCATCATTGGCGGCAAGAACCTAAAGTTTGAGCGCACGCGGATGGATCAGTGCAACATTCTGATCTGCACACCCGGCCGCCTGCTGCAGCACATGGACGAGAATCCGCTGTTCAACACAAGCACCATGGAAATGCTGGTCCTGGACGAGGCAGATCGATGCCTGGACATGGGCTTTCAGAAGACCCTGAACTCAATTATCGAGAATTTTCCGCCAGAGCGGCAGACGCTGCTGTTTTCGGCCACACAAACGAACACGGTCCAGGATCTGGCCAGGCTTAATCTCAAGGAGCCGGTCTATGTGGGCTACGGAGGTGGAGTTGGAGGAGAAGGAGCAGCTGCTGCTTCCACATCGAAGGCGGCTGTTCTGGCCGTTCCCGAGCTACTGCAACAGAGCTATGTGGTGCTTAATTTGGAGGACAAAATCACCATGCTGTGGTCGTTCATCAAGAATCATCTGAAGCAAAAGATCATTGTGTTTGTGGCCAGCTGCAAGCAGGCCAAGTATCTGTACGAGATCTTCTGCAAGCTCCGCCCGGGCAGCCCCCTTCTTGCGCTATACGGTACCCTGCACCAGGATCGTCGCATTGCCATATACGAGGACTTTTTGCGCAAGAGCCACGTTGTCATGTTTTCCACGGACGTGGCATCACGCGGCCTCGACTTTCCCGCCGTCAACTGGGTGGTGCAATTGGATTGTCCCGAGGATGTCTCCCAGTACATCCATCGGGCGGGTCGTTCCGCACGCAACAAGACGCGTGGCGAGTGCCTTTTGGTCCTGACGCCCAGCGAGGAGGAGTACATGATCAGTGCCCTAAAGGAGCAACTGAATTTGAACATTCGCTGCGTACAGATCGATCCCAAGAAGCTCTTCTCGCCGCGCGTCAAGATCGAGGCTTTTCTGGCCCAATTCCCCGAGCTGAGGGCCACCGCCCAGCGTGCCTTCCTATCGTACTTGAAGTCTGTGTTCCTGATGCGCAACAAGCGTCTCTTCAATGTGTTTAGCTTGGATCTGGACGCGTTCGCTCAGTCACTGGGCTTGGCGGTGACGCCGCGAGTACCCTTTCTCGAGAAATTCCTGTGGCGACAGAAGCAACTCCAGCAGCAGAAGGAGAAGGGTGATGAAGTTCCTGATTCCGCAGCTGCAGCTGCTGCTACTCCTGTTCTACCCAAGATCAGCAAACAGCAGAGCTTCGGTGGGGCTAGCGAAAGCGAAGATGATTCGGATGACGAGGACTTTATCAAAGTCAAGCGAAAGGATCACGATGTCGAGGGAGAGCCAGTGGACCTGGAACTAGACGTTGCCGGTGGAGACCAGGACGAGTCGGAGGAGCCGCTGGTGGTCCCCAAGCGAGAGAAGCTGGTTACCAAGGCCTCCCTGGCCAAGAAGGCCTTGAAGAAGAACCTTCAGGTCAACTCCAAGCTCAAATTCGATGACGAGGGCGAAACATTGGCCGATGAACGCAGCCAGATGAAGGCGCTGAGTGCCAGGCAGCGTTCCGGCGACAAGGACGACGATGGCGGCATTGATCTGGTGCTGTCCAAGGCTCTGCTCACCGAGGAGGATCAGTACGATAAACAGAGATTCCGGGAATTGGTTAAAAAACGACATAAGCTGCAGCGCGACAAGCTGCGGAAGAAGGCGGAGCAGGCCAAGGGCAGTGACGAAGAGGAGGAGGAGGAGGAGGATGAGGCAGGCGCTGATGACAGCGAGAGTGACCACTCCGTAGACCTCTCTTGGCTGCCAGATCCCGACAAGGTGTACAAAACCAAGACCAGTCAAGAGCAAGAGCCATCTGAATCCGAGTCCGATGCTGAAGCGTCCGTTAGGGACGAAAGCGAGGACGAGGACTCCCTTTCTGAGGATGAACCCGCCTACAAAAGATCCAAGCTAACGAATAAGATGACTCTGATGGACACCGAGGCCATAGCGGCCAGTCTTTTGGGTAGCTAACTTAAGGGACAACACGACTGTGTGAATAAATTAATGCCAATTACTGCTTATTCATAATTTGTAATTTAATAAAAATTGTTTTTATTGAAAAAAAATATATTTTTTTAATTTAATATTTAACTAAATAATCAAGGGAAAGTATTGAAGAATTTATTTTCTTACGAGTTTGTTATTCATTTTCCACATAATGTAAAAGTCCAGCAACTGAAAGTCCTTATTTCCAACCCGCCCAGTAAAAAATCGCTTGCCAAATGCTTCACAAATATTTGGAAAATGCCCACAAATTTATTTTTGCTTATTGTTTGATTTAATTCATCGTTTCTTTCTCATCTCTTTTGGTTTTTTGTTTTTTTTTTTTTCTTGGCGCCCCCGCGTTGCATTGCAAGGCGCCCCCCCAACCGATTTGCTATTTCATTTCCGGTGCTTTCGACCGGAAATGTGGCGACGATAGGAGGGGGGAGCCTGGGCTGAGATGGGAAAGGGAGTCTGTGGTGGTGGCTGCTTGGCATTGGGCGTGGCATAAAATTTGCTTTTAAAAATATCATTACACATCACGTCAATTACAATTTTTTTTTTTTGTTTTTGCTTCTTGTTTTGTTTTTCATTTTTTTTTTTGTTTTGTTTTGTTTTTGTTTAGACATATTTGCTGGTTGGGTTTTTTGTTTTATGTTTTTCGTTCGTTTAGCGTATGAATGTATGTATATAAATAAATGCATACACATATATACGGTAATATATAGACGGTATATATATGTACGTGTACAAATAATGCAATAGACACACATCTATACAAATTATACTATATAATGGTTAAGTGTTTCTCTTTTCTTTTTCTCTCGTTTTTTGTTTGCAATTATCATATTGAGTTTATTCACTTTCGCCTGTGCTCCTGCTCGGATTCTGCTTTTGGCAACAGATCTCGTTCTCGTTCTCGTTACTCCTACTCCTACTCGTTACTTTCCTTTAAGTTTGAGGTCCGTTTCAGACACAAGATACATACGCACACGCAATCGCAATTATATATAAAAAAAAATCAATGCTTCAATTACAAGAAATAACACTTAGGCTTATGTTGTTGTTGTTGTTCGTTCGGTTCCATTTTTGCCTCTCGTTAAACTCTCCTGCTAAGCTTCCTCCTCCTCATCTTGATGCTTTGTGTTCGTTATTCTTCGATTTTTTTTTTCTCCTTTTTAGTTAAAATATATTGTATATTGTGGAAATTGTATTTGTTGCTTCGCTACACACACACACACACACGCACAGCTGTTTACAAAGACAGAGAGAGAAAGAGAAAGAGAGAGAGTATTACGTTGGGGATTACATATCAATTATATCGATTAGACAATCAGTGGAGACCAGGGGAGACTGGAGATTCGAAGCTCGGAGAGACTGGGAGACTCTGGAAATCGATTCTGTTTCGGTTTGGAAATTTGTTCTTTTTTTTCAGTTTTATTTGTATTCATGGAGATTTCTCTTTAGCCGTTCCAAGATAATTATCATTTTTTGCTTAAATTTAAGGTAATTTGTATACATCTAGTTATGCACACTAGCATACAGACACAACCACAACCACACACACATACACACACTGAGAGATGCACATTTAGTATTTAGCTTGAAAAGTGGATTTGAAATCGTGGTTTGTTTTTGCTCCTACGCCTCCGGCTCTTCCTACTCCTACTGCTCCTTCTCCTCCGCCTGCTACTCGTTTCTAGCCTGATATACTCGCTCCTTTTCTCCTATTCTAGACACACAGACATTTAGTTGGTTTGTTTTTTCTTTTTTTGTTTTAAATATGTATATATTGTATAGCCTAGCTTTATCGCTATTGGTTTCTTCACTTTTTTTTAATATTGGAAATTTTTGTTTGTTGCTGATCTCGCATTAATTTTAACATACAATTACAGTTACAGTTACAATTACAGTTACAGTACAATTACAGTTACAGTTATATAACATACACAGATACACAGTAAATTTTATTTAACCATTCTTGATCCTAGATAATCTCCCTCGCTTTCAACTCTTTTTAGTTTTTCTTTTTTGTTCATTTTTTTTTTTTTTTTTTTTAATTTTTTTTCTGTGCGTTGTCGTTGGCGCCACCCGGCCCCGCTCCTTTTGTTTTTGTTGTTGTTTCTGGTGGGGAATTATATTTGGATGAATCAATGGAGGCGCGAGACAAAGCGGGGACGCGGGTTGCGGCGAGGGGAGGAGGTCTCACTCAATGAATACAACGACAAGGACACAAAAAAAAAAAAGAAAAATACTTGACGCGTTTACATTTATCACGGAAACACAACAAAGCCATCGATACAAAATATATATATATATGTATATATTATATGTGAGTGTGTGTGTTTATGTATATAGAAGATATATATTTATATATCGTATGTAATTCGCACACGCAGAAGTCGATGCACACACAGACATTTACCATACATATATATATATATATATATAAGCGATATACATATGTATGTAATTATATAAAAAATAAATACCCTACTTAGCCAAGTTGTTCACACGCACACAGACACGTAAAAGACACACACACACACACAAGTCCCACATCTATATACTATTATTAAATATTAATATGTATATATGTATGCCTGGCTGCTGATCCTCATTTGAATGAATCGATCGATCGATGGGCTGCCTTCACTTTCTCTCGATTTCGCTTCTAGCTCTTGAATCCTCGCTTACTTGATACTCGTCACTCGTTACTTTTAACCCAATACTCAATTATATTGCTAACAGGACCCTTCTCGCTGATCCCCACTCACACATGCATGGACCCTGGCACTCTCGCACCTAAACTTGGCAAATGGCACTCACACATGCAGACACACACACACACACACAAACACACACACACATGCACATTGAATCTAGCTATCTCGTTTTGGCTTCCAGGTGACATTCCAATTCTAGACCATGACAAAGGCATCTTTGCCGCAGAACAGATACGGAAACTGATCGATCATTGTCTGGACAATGTCCTCCAGATACGGACGCAGCTGCTCAAAGTGGCCCATGTCGGTGAAGTCGATGGGTATGAGTGTGGGCCACCAGCAAATGGCCAAGTTCTTGCTGTCCATGCTGTTTAGCTTTGAGTTGTCCGAGACGCTAAACGAAAAGTATATAATAGTAACAAGTAAAGGCATACTCCTGATTCGAGTACACTTACTGCACAAAATGCTGGAATATATATTTGAGTATGGCAAAGTTAATGTGCGGCAGCTTCTGGAGAAGCGACTTTAAAGCTATCAAGCGGCAACTCCGGTCGGTCTTGACCTCCACATTTAGCTTGGAATTGCCAACGCCACGGGAACCTAAAGCAGAATCAGATCAATATCTATCCTTTTGTCTATTTATATCTGTGCAAAGGCCTTACCGGCAATCTCCTCCAGCTCCTTGATGATATCCTTGCTGAACAGCGGCGGCAGGCGCTTCGAGAAGAAGTCCTTCAAAGCGGTGGCCACTGCATTGACGGGAATGTCCAGAGAATCGATCTCGGTGTTGGCATCTATTAAATATTATTACAAATTATTTATAATAAATTATTATTTCTATTCTTTAATTGATCAGTTTTGAAATCTTACCCTCTTCGAAGCGCTGGAAGAGCATGTCGACATGCGCCCTGCTACCGGGAACTCGATAAATCCCCTCGGAATCGAGGCCCTCCTTCTCGATGAACTCCACGCACTTGTTGAGGAAAATGGGTGTCTCATCCTTGTCGGAGCTTATCATCAGCTTGCCAAATTGCGCCTCTGCCGATTCGGTTTGCCCCTTGGCATTCTGCTTGAGCTTGCGCTTGAGCTTCTTCTCCTGCTCCTTCTCTTTCTCCTGAAGCTTGCGCAGTCGTGCCGTCTCCTCCTTGATGCGCCGCTTTTCCAGCTTCTCAAAGTCCTTCAAGCACTTGGCATTCATGTTGTACTCGGGCAGATTCTCTGCCCCGAAGATTCCAGCTGCCGCCAGCTCTGGCACCATGGAGTACTGCAAGGGTGTAAAAGGTAGGGCATAAGGAATGGGGTTAAATGTATCCTTTTCTGAAGCCGAACTCACCTCTGGCGACTTGTCGCTTTTCATAAACTCGGGCACGCCGACGCCCTCGGGTTTCTCTGTGGAGAAAAATTAGATAAATTTGGATTAGCAAAGAGAGTTGAAAGTACGAAAAATATACAAGTTAGAAAAGAAGAAATAAAAGATTGAAATACAACTTGTTATAACCTTTTACAGACCCATCTTATAACTTAGTAAATAGATAGAATAGTTTCCCAGCTTCCAGAACAGACCCAGAGACATGAAATAATAAATGCAAACACGACACATACTTCTCTCACCTGGACCGCCGCCGCCGCCAACGGCCATGCGCTGATAATGCAGCGGAATCTCCGGTGGACTCACATAGGAGCCAAACGGAGGAACACGTGGTGTCTGCACTGGTATGGCCACCTTCTTTTTCTTCTGCTTCTTGGCTGCCACCGGCTTCTTGCTGCTGGCCTTGTAATAGGCAGCATTCTGCTGGCGCACCCGTCGCTCCGTGGAACTGGCACAGCTGTCCGATTCGGTGCAGTCTACAGATGAGAAATGGAAAAGATCAGGGGAGTCTGAGATGATGGTCCTGGGGGCTTGGTGGGGCAGGAGGGAGCAAGGCGAGTGTGGCGAGGGACACAGAAGACAATGCTGGATCGATTAAATGGTTTCTTTGGTTTCATATCAAAATGAACTTGATTTTAACATATTTGTGTATATCGAACACTTGTCCGTGCTTTACAGATATATATATTAATGTATTTTTACAAATTCTTCAATCAACAAATATATTATTTCGTAATTATATAATTTAATTTCAAGTCGGCGTCCTTAGTTTTGGCAAACTTTACATTTTTGGACTCTAATCGACTCGCAAGTAATTCTCCAAGAAGTATAGCTGGAAATTAAATCGATTCTATATTTATCGATTTTTTTTAATTTAAATCGATTTAAATCGAAAAAGTTGTAAGCGTATTTAAACTCGAGAAAAAGTTTACTTTAAGTTTAACATTATTGATATATTATATTTAATTATTAGGAATCTAAAATTTTCGGAATTTGAAAATCAATGTCGTTTTATTTTATAATTTCATATTTCCTATGACATCGTAAAAGGTGAAAAACAAAAAAAAAAACAAAAAACTGATAATATTTAAGTAAAAATATCGATAGATAACATTTTGTAGAACAATAAAATTACAAATCTATGATTAATATAAATATATATTTATTATTATTTTATTTTTCGACTTTAATCGAATTATTTGTATAACTTTTATTTATCGAAAAAATCGATTCACTGAAAATCGATTTATTTCCAGCTTTACTGAAAAGAATGCAATGTAACCAGTTTAAACAATATTATACAACATAAATCTTGGCCAAATCTCGCTGATATATTTCTAAAACTCTCAACATGTTAATATCAAGCTCAAAATGTTTGATTTCCCTGTGTTTTCTGGGTGGGTGGTTAGGGCAGTGTAGTGATTCGGGTGAGTATTTTGGGGTGAGGAGGTGTTAGTCAGCTGGTGATCCTACTTGTTTCCAGTCCCACAACCTATCTCTACTACTGGTACCTTCGTTCTCATAGATCTGCTCGTACTCGGCCAGCTCCTCGGAGTCCTCGTCCTCGCCATCAAGCTGGGCGTGATCATATCGCTTGCCATCCTTGCCATCGCCAGGCTCACAGGCTCCCAAATACGAGTCTGCCATGCTGCCACTGCCCAGGCCCAGGCCGAGGCCGGTGCTCCCCGAGCCGGAGCCTGATCCGGAGCCAGAGCCCGAGCCCGTAAAATTCATTTTGGCCACCGCATCGCTGACCAATTGGAAGTTCTTCATATTGAGCTTTCCCGGCTGCTGGGTGGGCAGTGTAAAGGTGGAGGAGCTCATGGCCGGGCAGTTGCGGCTGGGCGCCTCGCCCACTTTTAACGTTTGGCTCGGTCCCTTTGGCCGGATCTTGTTCAGATTGGAGTCGATGTGTCGCCGGCCAGTGGTATAGGCGTGCGTCGAGCCGCTAAAGTTGTTCCATATGGAGTTCTTGTTCATGTTGCGTCGCCCATCACTCTTGTCCTCTAGCCACTCTGAAAAGTCAGCCACACGAAGGGGGGAGGAGAAGACGAGAGAAATTTTCACAATTAGCCCAAACAGGTGGAGATTCATTCCTGTGCAGGGGTCCCTACATGGTGTAGGTGCAACTAGTCAGGTGATATCGGGTTTACAGGCAGCAGAGCACACCTCATAATATGCGGGAATCTTTGAGATATGTATGTATGTATGCAAGTACAAGCTACAAGACTTGTTTGTTTATTTTTTGTCAAGAGATATTTGCCATAATATACAATTATCGCATTTATGATAATTATTTTTTGTGTGCCACGAGCAATACAAAAATAAAATCTATATATTATTGATTGTATTTTGCAGTGAATCGGAAAACAAAGCAAGTCATTTTGGGTTTTGATAAAAAATAAGTAAATATATAATTTAGAAACCAATTGCAATACCTAAATGATTTAAATAAATAATTAGCTTTGTAAAATAATCGCAGCTTTCGATTTAAAATCGATTAACATCGATGGTTTGCCAGTAGAGCTTGAAATTAAATCGATTCTATAATCGATTAATATATTTTTCTAATTATGCGATGCATCGATTAAAATTTTCAGAACCGATTTAATCGAAAAAGTTTTATAGGTATGTAAACTCTTGAAAAAGTTGAGTACAAACTTAAACATTTTTCTATTTTTTTTATTATTTTTAATTATAATAATAATATAATTTGGGATTCCGGATTTTGAAGGCTAGTAGAATAATCAATGTCATATAATTTTATAAATGTAATATTTCATATAAAAGATAAAGAACGCCAAAAATCTAATGTTTAACATGTTTATAGTTTACAAATATCGATAAGAATCATAAAAATAAAATTCTGTGATTTATAGATATATATAATTTAAATTTAAATGTTCAATTTTAATAGATTCTCTTGGCGCTTTTTTTTTATCGAATTACTGAAAATTGATTATTTCCCCCTCGTTTTTTTTCACAATGTAAATATCGATAGGCATTTTTAATTTTATACTAAGCATTGTAGTTCTTCGCATTTTCTTTATAAAAGAAAAATAATGTCTGAAAATGTGACAACTGAACTGGAATATTAACAATATTTAAAGTAAACTAACAACAGTAACAAAAATTAAGTTTCTTTTTCATGTTTAGTAATACCATAATCAATCCATATGCAATATCAGTGATAAAAACTTGATAAATGGTATTTTTAGATTTAGATATATTGTTTTTTTTTTTTTCATTTTTATATCCTATAGTACTACAATAAATCTTATTTATAATTTGGAAGACATCTTTAATTTAGATCTTTGTAATTTTGATATATCCGTATTAAAACCAGGTTTATTTTGAAACAAAACTCTCTAACCGGTTTATAAGCAAAACCTGCATATAAATGATTGTGCATCTGTGACCGATATCCACCGAAACTTAAAAGGGGAACACAAGGGGAGGGCAGAGATGCAGGACAACAGGCAGGGGATTCGTGCCGGAATTATAAGGATTTTGGTTGCTATAAAAAAAAAGAAGAGGAAAAGGCTCTAAAGCTCTAGGCTCTACAACAACTTGAGTGGATCGAGAATGAGATTAACCTGCATCATGGGTGGCCAGTGAATCCTTGGACCCGCTAACATCCGCTGCTTGTTGGAAAACGTTATACATATATAGAAAAACGAGAGTAAACACACACAAGACTCATCAGTTTGGCCAGGACTCTGTGGAACCGAAAAAGCGATTTAAAAAAAAAAAAAAAAAAAAAACAGAGATAGCAAAGCAAACTAAAAAGAACAAGGAACTTTTGGGGGGAACACACAGCAAACGAACGAAAGAACATTTGTACAGTCGAGCATCCAATCCTGGGATTGGATTTGTATCGTGGATCGCGGGTTCGGCGTGGGACAAAATGGATATATTACATATGCAGCTCAACTGGCAGATAAACAAAAAAGAGACTTTAAGGTATACAACACAGCAAAGAAAAGAGAGGAAGACATTCAGGTGGTAAAAGTGTTGGAATTGGACTTGGATTGTCTGACAGTCTCTCTCGTTCTCTGAGCTCAAAACTGGGGGCAATATCCTTGCAGAGACAATGGGATCACATGGGAAACCATTCAGTTTTAGTTTAACTCAATGCACTAATAATTAATTACAACGATTTCTGCGCACCACCTCGAGTTTTTATTTGCAAAGTATTTGGGAAGAAATTGATGATAAATAATAGTTTGTATTTTTTAATTGTTTGCAATATTAAATTAAACAAAACTATTTACAAACTTTCAGATGCAGAATTCAAGTATCACTTTTAAAATGGACAATATTTATGTCTCCATTGAATGTAAAAACACTTAAAAACAGGGACCGTAATGCTATATTTAGCTAATTTTCTGTTACTTTACATTCCATCTAAGCTAGAACCCGTTGGGAATCCTAAGCGTCGATGCGAAGGCAAAAGCAAACCTGGAAAACAAATATTATATATATGTATATATTATTATTTAAATATATTCACATATACATATATATATCTTTTTTTTACTAAAATCTAATGATTATCTTTTAAGATATTCGAAAAAACTCATAAATTGAATTGATTTTTATATTTGAAAAATAAAAATAATGATTATTTACGGTCCCTGCTTAAAAACCCATTTGAGAGATCTTTCTCATTGGATTTTAAGAATTACACAAGCTATTTACACAATTGTTATATATATACGGAATATGGAATATGGAATATGGAATACGAATTGAGTACTCATTTTAAAAGGTTAAATTCATATGGTTTGAGTCTATTCGCTTCTCCTGTGCAAACGCAACGCTCCCTCACAAAGGATATATTTTATTTCTGTCCCAGATTTTGACCAAAAGAAAAAACGAGGGGGGGGATTAACAGGGAAAAGGTGAAGAGGTGGCGAGGCCGTGTGAACGGGGGGGGAGGCGAAGGTGAAGTTTCGCTGGTGGTGTTTCTTTTCGAGTGATTACGATAAGGAAGGAAATCAATCAACCGAAAAGAAAATATAAAAATACAAGACTCTAAAGGATGAGATAACGAATAAAGAGAGAGACAGAGAAAGGTACAAGATATATAGGAGGTACGAGATAAAACGAGAATATAGGAGAAATATGTATATTCAAATAGTTAGATTACATGTTATTTCTTCCAAACTTGATTCTGAAGCCGAAACGAATTGACTCTTATATGTGCATGTAATGAGCTGATGATCTGGAGGGGCTGGCTCTGGAGGAGTTGTTGGAGGAGGGAATATCTGGAATCCTTATATATTTTCGTTTTTTTTTTTTTTGTTTTTTTTAGAGCAAATAATTTGTTTGATTTGCAATTAGGCAAAAAACGAAAACAACGAATACACACACAGAGATAAATCGATACAAAAAAATGGTTAAGGTTAATTCGTTAATTAATAATAATCATTATATAAGAGTATATATATATATATTGATATATATAAGTATATTTGGTATGGAGGAGCGATCTCCGATGGCAATGGAAACGGCGAATGAATGAATGAATGAATGAATGGTTGGTTTGCATGATGAATGGGATATGAGACATTATTCATATAGTATATATGATGGGTATAGAATGTATATGGTAGATATATTATATATATAGTTCAATTGGCTATTATTGGGCACGAATTCTGAATGAGTTTGGGTTTTTGGTTTCTAGTTTCTTTTTGGGCTTTTTGTTATAGCTTTCAATTTAGCTTTTTGGGGGAAAGGGGGCCTTTTTAGGGAATAATGGTCAGCTTGGAACTTACTTTGATGCAGATGCTTTGGCTTTTCGTTGTCATCGTAGATTTCATCTAATGATATATCTCTTTCTTCTGCAAGTACACAATAAAAAATAGTTCCAAAATATATGTATATGTATGGACATAAAGAATATCTTTAATATTGACGCACCATTTAATGAGTTGAGAGATCGGGTAGGAAGCATTTCATAATTCTCACTGCCGGAACCATCCGTTCCCAGAGTATTCGATAGCATATAGCTCTCGTGGCGCGGCGGCGGGCGTGGCATCTGGTTAACCGAGTTCTCCAGCGTTCCCTCGCCCGAATCCAATGTAATTGACTCCTCCACATGCAAATTCTCCACCTCGTACTTGTTATCCCAGGCGGTCTTCAGGAATGGATTATAAAAGGCAACTGTTCGTACCGACGAACGTTGGCAATTAGTTTGTGTTTTTTTTAATCTAAATTAATTTAAATATCCAACTTACACTTGACATACTGATCCGCCGAAAAGGTCATGAAGCTGCCCTTGAAGCGATCGGCCACCGCATTGCCCTCGGTAATCAGAAATTGGCAAATATCGCTGTTGAAAAACGCATTAACACCGCCGCTCTCCGTCACCGCGATGATTTGCAATGGAATGTTGGCACTCTGCGCTGCCAAAAGGCTGAAAACGAAACAAAAAACAAATAAATTAGAAATTTACCAAAAAATAATTAAACACAAAGAAAAAATCAAGAAGGAATACCCCGCTAGGGTATAATGATATTATAGCCACGTTACTCACCTAAGATTGGCCAGCGATGAGCGGCGCTTGGCCGAATAAAAGTAAATGTAGCCATGGATTAGCTCATCGCGATACTGGCTAGTGCCATGATATGACGACAGTATGAACTCCACTCGCCGCTTGGCATCGCCAATGAAAACGTCCACGATAATGGAGTGCTCGCTGGCCTTGACCAGCGTCGATTCCGCCACCAGTGGCTGGACAATGTTCTCAATGTCATACTGATCGCCACAGAAGATGCAGCACAATATGCGCAAGTCTGTGTGATTGGAGGGATACGGTTCGTAGCTCTTCATCTCGGTCAGCTTCAGCGACAGGATGACAATGTTGAGTATATCGTAGACGTACTTCTGATGATTCTGCGTATGATCGATAAAGTCACAGTGCAGCATCTCGGACAGACGGATGCCCTCATTCCGCAGGTACTCCACCTCGTTCTCCTTAAGATCCTGCGGCTGATAGACCAGAACAATCGGCAGGTTCTCAAATTTATCCTCCAGCTCTAGGTTACAGAGCAGTGTACGCTCCAGGTTATCCTTGAGCGTTTCAAAGGACTGCTGGTTGGAGTATACGCAGATCAAGCCTGTGAAATATAGTTAGATTGATATATTGATATAATACTGTATTATGTAATTCTATTTAAACATTCTTTATCTAGGATTCTTCTTATATGTCCTTTTATTCCCCAAAACTTACTATTTATGTTTTTCTTGATCAATTTTGTTACATTTTCAATGAAAACTGAAGCATAAAATCTCTCATTCAGCTATTTCCATCATTTATTAGTATTCCGAATGCTCTGTGACTAAGCCCTATGATATCATTTAATAGCTTTGTAATCGGTGTCTACTTCAACATTCCAAATATTAAATCATTGAACAATAGGATTAAGAGGTTCTCTCTCTCTCTCTCTCTCTCTTTCTCTGTCTCTCTCTCTGGGTAATTAAGTAAGCCAGCCAATGCAATTAATTGATAATTCATACGTTAATGAAGCCTTACCACTTGAGTAGACATCGATGGCCTTGAAGGCCTCCATGTCACCGTTGGCAATGCGATAGTTGAGATAGTACGTCTGATTCTCGTAGATGTACTCGCCCTTGCTGCCGGTGCAGATGCGTATGTCGTTAAGTAGATCGCTGGCCAGATGCTCCGAGCCGACAATCAATAGATTGAGCGTGCGGTCTGTGCCGCTGCCTGAGGATGAGCTTTTCCAGCCGCCACCGACACTCGGTGTCTTGTGGTTGCTGGCCGATTTGTCGGAGAGCACCTCCTCGATCAACCCGTCGACGCAGTTGTAAAAGAACGGACAGTGATCGCGGACGGGGCAGTGGATGAAGCGCAGATGCTGGACGAGCATTAGGCGCCGCTCCTGATCCAAGCGATCGAGCATCTTGTAGCGCGAATCCTCCTGAATGACCTCTGTTATCTGACGCACATCCTCCTGCGTGATATTGTCCACGTTCTTGAATTGCAGAAAGTACTGGGCATGCTCCAGCAGTAGCTCCACAAAGTTTTGTTTGCTCTTCTCAATGATCTCATCCTGATGGATATCATAGATCTGTTGGCAGTCGTGCTCCGACAGAGCCTCGAAACACTCACGGCCCATGAACAGGACTCGCACCTCGGACAGTTGTTTGCCGGGCGTCACAAAACCAGACTCCTCCAGTAGCATCTTGAACTGCTGCTTCCACCTGTAAAGGATTCAAATTCAAAGAAAGAAAGAGTGGTTTTTAGGAAATGCCGAACAGGAATCACTTTCTTCCACAAATAAAAGCTAATAATTGTGTCAGAAACTCACCCAATTTTCTTCTTGTCCTGCTGCACCGAATTCAAATAGTTACGGAAGACTGTTTCCGCCTCGGATGTCTCCAGCACATCGAACGGAATGCGCGCCTCATCCTCGGCCTCGTCCATATCCACCAGCTCCGTCCACGAGGCCTGCGGGCACTCGAAGAAGTACTGCTCAAACTCAATGTGGTTTTGCAGATAATTGCGGGCACACTCCCACGCATCGTCGTCGCTGATATTGAGCGCCCCAATGTCCGGCAGCAGGTATTCCAAGGCCAATGCAAACTTGTCCAAATACTGCAGCAGTTTCTTGTTCAGATGATCGTCGCGCAGCTTCTTCATGTGACGGCGGAAGAGCTTCTGGCCGGCCTCGTGGCCAAAGATGTTAAGGAACTCGTTCCATTCGCGATACTGCGACAGCATCTTGGAGCCCTGCGACCAGAGGACGTGGTAATCGGTGATCTGATTGCGGATCAGTCGCGTCACCGCCTCGGAGCGTGTGTCGAGCAGTTCCTTGCGTGACTTGGCCGATTCCTGGTACGAGATAATCTTAACCCGGTTCTTAACCTTGTCGATCATCTGGGCGAGCAGGAGGAAGGCCAGATCGATGTTGATGCTCTCATGGGCCGATGTCTCGATCAGTTGCACAGTGCTCTTGTAGTCCTTCCGCTGGCTAATCTTTTCCGCCTCGCGAACATAAAGCTCATAGGCATCGTCATTTTTTGTGGTCACCAGCACTAGCGGCTTCTTGTTCTTCAGAATGCTGGCGATGACATTCTGCACAAACTCCACCTGCTTCTCGACACTGCGATTGGGGACGGGACTGACGTCGAACACAACCACGAAGCCATCTATACTGAGGCGGCCATCGGGCATCACCTTTTGCTCGTACTCCTTCTCGATGCCCAGCTGATTCTTGCATATATACATCAGTTTCTCCGCGGAGAAGACCTTGGTGGCGGTGCAGCGCTTTGAGTATGGATCCATCTTGCCCACCTTAAAGGCCTGAAAGGTGGAGTCGTCCATGAACTCGGTCTGCTCAATAATGTTGAATTGGTACTCGACGCCCTCGTCCGTCGTCTTACGGACATCTCCCCAGTACAGGAAGTGGTCATTGTTTACGATCCGGCCGCTGAAGTCGCTCTGGCTGAGCACTGATATGTGATCGATGAAGTAGTCGTCGGCCATTGGCCGCATGAATCTGTTGCACAAGCATGACTTGCCCACGCCCACCTGGCCGCGGTCCTTTTCGGTCCCGGATAGTCCAATGACCGAGATGTTAAACTGACGCATCTTGACGTACCTGCCAGGTATGGGGGGGAATTGGTAGGTTGTAGAGTCACAATTTCTCATAAGTTGATAAGGACAAGCATCCAGAAAAGGATACGGGTTAATATTTGTGCTATATTTTAATGTATTTACTTATAAAACATTAGACAGATCTAAGAACCATTTGTCTCTTACCAAATCAAAAGGATCTAAAAAGAAGAAGCAGGTAAAGGACAATTGGCGAAAATATTGATCAATAGAAATCTAAACGACCACTTGTGCTACACATTCACTTTCTGTTTCCAAGTTTAATAAACCATATTTATTATTTCTCAAAGAATTAATCCCATCTGTGACAATCCCAAAAGTCTAGACATTTGGGTTTTCTCACAAAGCAAGGAGTTCACACTGTTTTTTTATCCTCAACTGGAATCTTCCTCTGGAATTCTGATCTGGAATCCTTAACTGGAACCCTAGAGAGAGCGATCTCTATCCAGCATCCAAATTAGATCCAGCCAGTACACTTCGCACACACACCTCGAATATAACCTTGTGCGCCTGGAGGACATTAGATGTAACTGCTCCCTTTGTCCTTTGTGGGAATTCGGTCCTGGGGACCTTCACATATTCGCACACCGCGGACGACTTTTCGCACAGTCTAGGACTCGGATTGGGGTTTTGCGGCGGCTGCTGCTGCTGCCACAACTACGCAGTTACGGATACATCCACGGATTGGAAGCCCGAAAACACATCTCTCCGGGCGCGAGCGAGAGCGACAGAGAGCAATTGAGATTGGCTGCTGCGGTGACAAACGAAGGAAGGCAGGAAGGACGGACGGAAGCAAGGCACTAGGGAGGGGGGAGCAAACGCGATTTTCTTATGCCGGCGCTAAGCGAAAAATCTGCCCATGTGATTTCGTGGTCCTCGTTTCGACTGATTCCACTTGATTTCGCCATACAATGCAATGTTTCTTCGTTGGTTACATTTTTTGAGTTACCTGGCTTGTATTTATGTGTTTTTTTTATAACATTTTTCGGGAAAATAGGGAAAGTCGGTCTGCAACAAATCCTTTTTCCAAACTAACTGTTTCTGCTTCTGTTTCTGTTGCAAACAACGGCGCAAGACAGTTGGAGAGAAAGGAAAAGAGAGAGTGTGCCGTAGACACAGAGCGAGAGCGCGCCCGAGAGAGCGAAATCGTGGGTGGATGGCTGTTGCTGTTGTTGTTGCTGCTGCTGCTAGTGGTGCACTTTTTTCTTTCCCAATTTGTTGCTGTTTTATCCTAGGAATTTATTGAAGTTTTTTGTGCGTGGGAGAGTGGAAAGAATAAACAAGCGGCAGCAGCCCCACTGGGCATTAATTGAGTTTTTCCGGCAGCAGCACACACACGTGGTGTGGCTGTGTGTGCAGCAAGTGCAGCGAGCAGCGCAGAAGCGAAATTGGAGCTGCAACAGATTTCCTGTACAATCTGCAGGAGCAAGGGAGAGGGCGAAAGGCAGCGCGGAGCGGCGACAGTGATAACAACAACGACAAAGGCAAAAGGGAAGGCGAAAAAAGAAAAATACAAAAAGAACGGCCCACGGTTATTGTTGTTTTTGGATCGGAAGAGATGAAGAGTGGGAGTTGTTAAAGCGAGAGTGAGAGGACAGTGTCATTGCTGCAAGTGCAGCGGTAAAGAGGAAACGGAACGGGGTGGGGCGGCGGCAGCGGCAGCAGCAATGAGAGAGAGAGCGGGTGCGGAGCGTCGTCACTTCATTGAGCCGAAATTCAGATTCGCTGCAGAAAAGAAAAACACTGTTGCCGCATCCGTCTAGCCATCTCGCTCTGGCGCGCGTACTCTACCCATCGTGGCCTCCCGCTCGCGCTGGACAATTACCTGCAGTTGCGCACAAAGGCTCGCGTGTGCCGTTCAATCTCAGGCACTGGCGGAGGAGTTTTCCTGAATTATATTCTTCTCGTTGCCAGCCGCGAGCTAGTTCTGCATCAACAAAACGATAGCAATATCAACAAATTCCATTCGTATTTGCTTTAATTATTTTTCTTGGCCAGCTTCGGGCTGAGCAGCAGAAACTCTCACTCGTTCGCTCACTCACTCACACAAACACACGCAAAGGCACGCACGCACGGGGAGTGGAGGTGGGAGCGGGAGAGACAGAGCAGGAGAGCGGCAGAGGGAGCGGGAGCGAAGAGAGAGCCGTACACAACAACGTATACAAAAGACGAATCAGCATCGTAAAACGCACACATAAAAAAAGGCGAAAAACTCCGGAAAAACTAACTCCGCAAGGGCCGTAAAACGCGAATTGCGAATCGTGCAGCACTCACTACTCACAATTAATGCACTTGCACTCCAAATGCGGGGGGGATCGTAATCGAACGTTGGTTAAAATAAGTACGAGTAATTCACATCCGAGCTTTAATTGAACAACAACAAAAATGCACCAGCGCACACGCCAGTGTGGCCGTATTGGAGTAACTTATCGATGCCCAGCTGTGCTTCGAATCGATAACCGCCGATAAAGTATATCGGATCTCTGTAGCGCAGCTAACTTCACTCGGTATGAAAAAATGACCGCAAACATTTGAAAAAAAACCTTGAAAATTTTAAGAAATTTACTTATTTAGGAACCGCGGAGTTTTAGCAATAAATGTTTTTATTTTGGTCATATCTTACTCTTTTTTTTATCAATTGTACAAAACACTATTATATTTAGCTGGAGAATTGGGGAGGAGGGCGGGTTTCTTACAGGGATTAGGAGAGGCTAGACTAATACAGCTCCGACTTCTGCATTACGGCGGTGACCAGCGCCTTAAACGCATCCTCGATCATGATTATATGAAGCTGGGCATCCCGATAGGAGCACAGCTTGGCGCTCTCGGTGAGCGGCATCTGCATGGTGGTCACGCCCAGCGACGACTGGGAGTGCAGACTCCGACCGGTGGTCATCAGGATGTTAACACAGTCATCGGCCAGGATGGGGAATGTCTCAACGAAACGCACCATCGCCGGCAATACGTTCCGCAGGAACTTGCACTTGGTGGAGGCGGTGAGCAGCGACAACGTCGTCTGGATCACATTCAGGCAGAACTTGGAGACCCCCAGACTCTTGGGTATGGAGTAATTGAGAACGAGATGCGAGGTCAGTTCAATGGTAAAGATCTGCTTGTCCATTTCGGTGACATTGAGGAATTCGTGGACAAAGTCAATGCAGATGTGCATCGACGGCACACTGGCCACAATCATGGGGATTACCGACTTGGGATACGTCTGGAAGTGCACCAGCTTGGCCAGCGAGGGTTCCGAGATGAACGCCTGATGGACATATGTACCGATAATGCCCTGAATTTCGCGCAATTCCAGATGCGACACCCGGTCATTGGCCTTGCTGGCCATATACTCCAGCACCTCGAGAAGGATGTGAACGGCGGCGCTCTCCTGCGAGGCAATCAGCGTGGTCTTTAGCTCCTCCCGATCGGCATCGGTCTGCACGAGGCCGTTCTTGTCCACCACCTGTTTCTGCTGCATGTGCACGTTGAGGTAGGTCTTGGAGGCGGCCAGGCTGCCCTTGAGAATGCGCAGCAGAATCATCAGCAGGTAGGGCGAGCAAAAAACCTGCCGTGGACAGCTGTAAAAAAAAAGAGTTTAGTTTTATTTGGAAATTTCAAAAGTTTTGTTTCCCCTTGAAAAAAAACCCACCTGAGCACCTCCATGGGCTCCAGCAGGCTCTCGTTGGCAAATGTCCGCCTGGTCAGCGAATCCGAACCATTGGTGATCGCTCGCAGGGACATGATCCACAGGGTGGTGGGCAGGACGGCGTTCAGGCGCAGCCATATATCATTGTACAGATCCTTGATGTAGCGCGGCACCGGTTTGGCGAACACCAGCGGCAGATGCTGCACCAGCTGCTGCCCGTACTGGGCCAGAGATTCCGGTGGCAGTTGGAGCAGCTGCTTGAACACCCTAATGGCCAGATGCGGTTTCGTTTGGATGGCGGCCAGAGCGCGATCCAGCTGGTGCGGCTTCAGCTCGCGCTTGGAGCTGGTGGCGATTGTCATGCTACCGCCCTGCGCCTGACTATGCTCCTCCTCCAGCCAATCATCCACCATGCTGAGATGCGGATAATTGGATATGATGAGACGCAGCAGCGGGTGAAAGAGCGAGAGGTAGTCGTGATGGTAGTGATGCGCCTTCTGCAGCAAATATTTCAGAGGCAGGCCGCCGAGGAAGTTGTTGGAGTACTCCTTCTGCTTGCGCCCGCCCAGGGCACTCAGATTCATCAGGCGCGTGTCCTCGTACAGCATCAGATAGTAGATCATCAGGAGCTGGGCGGTGAGCGGACAACTCACCTCGATCTGGGCCAGCTCCTCGCTCTCCGGCGCCATTGGTGGCAGTTCCTCGGCAAAAAACGTCAGCTGGGAGGTGCGAAAGACATGCAGGATCTCCGCCTCGGTGAAGGGTCTGTGCATGTGATCGATGTTCACCTTCCCGGTGGGATTCGGTATAATTAGCGTGTTCACAAACACCTCAACCATGGCGGCCATCACCGGATGCACTGGCCGCACCGAGCTGCAGATCTGCTTGAATATCCACGACTTGATGGGCACCTTGTGCTTCAGAAATGTCCGCGACTTGAGCAGCTGATGGATGCAGTGGACCGGCAAATAGCCCGGCAGTGTGCCATTCAAGTTTGGCGTCACCGGCACACGGACCGCATGCAGGGCCACCACCTGCTCGGTGAACAGATCCTGCGTGAATAGTTGCTTGATCCGGTTGGTGCTGTTCGGTCGGATCGGGATTTTCATGGCCAGCGTGGAGCAGACCATTTCGCTGATATTGGCTATCTGATTGCTATGGAAATGGATGGCCAGAAGGAGGAGCATCTCGCCCAGCGAGGTGCTGGTGCCGGAGCGTTTGCAAAAGAAGGCATCCTCGCGGATTAACCACTGCAGCCACTCCACTGCCTTGTTTTCCAGCGGTATGGTCGACACCAGCGAGGGGCAGGCAATGAGCATGCACAGCGCCAGCGTCACAAATCTCACGCCCGATGGCGTCGCCTGCGGGCAACTGGTTACCAGCTGGGACAGAGCATTGATCTCGTCGTCGTTGAACTTGAGACCGCCAATACCGCGGAGCGCACAGTACAGCCGCAAGAGCACCGCTCCCTGTAGATTAAAGTCTGGCAGCTCCGTCGCCCTGCTCGTCGTCTGTATCACCTTCTGCAACAGCTCAACCCGCACCAGATTCAGGGCATCGCCCTTTCGCTTTTGGCTGGAGCGGATATACACAGCGAACCAGGAGCGCAGGTTCTGGTCATTGCCCAGCAGCAGGCCGGTGAGAAAGGCAATCTGTAGGTGGATAGATAGCACAAGAGCTGTGTTAGCTTCAAACCGAAAGAGACGGCTATATCAGAAGCTGCCCCTTTTTTTTGAGACGCTCCAAAACACTCACCAGATCCTCCGGATGCTTCAGCGTTAGCTTGAGCATAAACGACGGCACCTTGAGCATCTCCACGCACATGGAGCGATTGGCCAGCGCCTGCGACGGGTTCATCTCGCTGAGGGCCATCAACAAAGTCAACCGATGCTTGCCATCGCTGCCCTCCTCATCGCAGTTGGCTATCACATGCGAGACCACGTCGCGATAGCAGTCGGGAAAGTTGGCCACCAAGGCACAAATGATGCGATGCCCATTGGGCACATGCACCAGGGCATCCGTTAGCTCCAGGATGTTCAGCAGCGATGGCAGCTCGGCCAGGGCAATGCACAGAATGTCAACCACTTCCTCCAAATAGATACCGTCGTCTAACATTTCGGAATGGGCTGCCGGCTTCTGCTCCTGGACCTGCTGCTGCAGATTAAAGATCTCGGAGAGCACCACCCGCACCTTGCGCGCCACATCTGCACGCTCGAAGCCCAGGGCAATGCCCGATTGCAGGCCGTACTCGTGCTGCTGCTGGCCCTCGAAGTAGACCGCCTTCTGGCGCGTCTGCAGCTCCTTCTTTAGCTCGTTCTCCAGCTCGTGGTAGTTGACCTGCAGATAGGAGACGATGCTGTTTACCACCTCGATGCCAATGAGCACGGCAAGGATCTGTTTGCGCGACTCCATCGACGACTCCGTGTTGTCCAGCGGCGACAACAGGCTCATGCGGACCAGCGACGGCAGCACCGGCCGTATCTCCGTCTCCGGATAGCTGGCCAGCAGCGTTATGTCCAGATTCTGCATCGCACTGAACACCCGCGCCGTCACATCGTACATCTTGACCGGCATCTTGACGGGCTTCCCCTTCGCCTTGGCCGCCGTCGTCGTCGTCGCCTCCTCCTGCCCAACTTGTTGCTTGTCGCCCGCCGTCGTCACTGCGGGGGGATACACTGTTTCTTCGATTCTGGCTGCCCGGGTGCCCGCGCCTTTGGTTGCCACACAGGTGGCGGCGTTGGTATCTGCTAGAGTTTGGGTGAGCCGGGAAAAATGAAAATGCACCGGGGCCCATAAACAGAGAAAAAGTAATGTTCACCGACCGCCAGTGTGGGATAACGATGAAAATGCATAAAAACACATTCTCAACTTGCATACAACAAGGGAAACTGTTATAAATTGTCATAACTTCAAACGTTGCACTGGTCGAGAACGAATTTAACCATCGCAAAGTAACCAAACCTAAAAGAGAAGTTATTTTTATGTATAAATTTTGTCATAATTATAAATATCAATGTTTTTGCAGCTCTAGAAATACAAATTGTAAAATAAACCCGTGTGTTTTGCAGCACTGGCTGGGATGGGCAGAGCTGAAAAACACAATAAAAAAAGCCAAATAATATATATTTTTAAGACAAAATAAATAAACGAATAATAAAACTTGTATATTCAATAGGCTATCCGATTCCACAGATTAAATTATGTTGTGTAACTTCGTAATTTGAGATAAAATAGTATGTTCAGATCAAAACAAGCCAGTTAATATGAGTCACAATTTTTAGGCATATTCGAGAGAAACTGAATGTTAAAAATACAATTAAATGATAGGCTTTTAACAGTGATATTTAAAGATCTTTCAATATAATTCGAAGAGTTCCGAGTTCTCCGGGCGATCATGCCAGCTCTTTTCTAGCCAGATCTGGCGGGACGAGACAGTGCGCAAGAAAAACGGCACTGCCACACTGCGCAATCGGCGTTTTTAGCGCCATCTCGCTCGCCACATCAATCGTTCGCAACGCGTTGGCAGCGCCGCACGCTCTCCGATGTTTTGAATACACACTTTTTTCCATTCTCGCCGTGAAGTTCATCCCAGACCGAAGATTTTTAGACATAAAAATCTATGAAATTAACAACGTTTTATGACTCGATTAGCGCAAATTCTGCAAAATTAAACAGTAGGTAAGTGCAAGTCGCCGTCGTGTAGTGTCTAACGATGTGAAAAGGCCGCGAAAAGGCGGAAAAAGTGTGTGTGGATTAATAGACCAACGCCCAAGGAGTCCCGTTCCGCAGAGCAAGCAGCAAAAACCGAAAAAAAAGCGAGAAGAAGCAGCAGCAGCGCTGAGCGAGCGGCGAAGTGCAAAAGTATCTTTCGGATTCGAAGTGGGACAATTGATCGGGATGCGAAAAGTGTGTTTTTTTTGTGTTTTTCGCCATTAAATCATAAACATATCATGGATTATAAATTGCCCGCTGGCTCATTTATTTTGCCGCTGCCCGCAGTAGCTGCTGCTGCCGCCGTGCCGTTGATGACATCATTCGGTTTTCGGTGAGAGCGTGCGTGTGCATGTGTGAGTGTTGTCTCATTACAGTAATCGAATTGGAAGTGTGTGTGCGTGTTCCTCGCATTCGTTTTATTTTTATGTTTCGACCGTCGGCCTAACAACTATGAATTTAACTTTAAACTGAACGTAAGGCGGCGGAAAAATAATAAGAGTGTTGTTTCAAAACAAATGCGCAAGCCAGTAGGCAAAGCCGCAGCAAGAGGAAGGAGGACAAGAACTTAAGTAACATTTGCGTCAGTTGGTGATAAAAAATGAAATCAAAAAATACACCGAGGCAATCGCCTAATCGGAGATATATACATATATGAATGTGTGCGTGTGTGTTTATGATTCGTCCGCTCATTTTTTTTTTTTTCGCTTCCTCATAGATACACCTATGCACTTGGCTGAAATACAGTTGCGTGCCCACCAACACACTCACACAGACACGCACGAACTCGGGCTGTGTAAAAATAGGAAACACTCCACTCCATCACCGCCACCACCACCACACCAACACCACCCCCCCGCTAAGGCACTCCCCCTTTTTTCTTTTGAAGAGGTCACGAGTTGAAGTTTCTTTTGTAAAACAAAAATACAAATACCCTACAGTATATCTCCTAGCCTGCACTTGCACTTGTTTGTTGTTGTTTATGAAAAACCTCACACATACACACCAGCTCACACACACATTCGAACCGTGTTGTAAACACAACACAGAAACAACAATCAAACGAAACAAATTAACTGGGCTCATACCACATAAATGGTAATGGAAAACTGGTTTTTCCTTAGCAAATTATAGTCGCTTTTTGGTGGTGGTTTCATTTCCAAGTTTCCAAGTTGAACTCTTGGCCTGTTTAATTGAACTCACAGTTACAGTTGCACAACTACAACTACAACTAAACGACTCCACGCCCCGCTCTCTCGCTCAATCACTCTCTCTGGGGCACTCTTCAAAAGTATGTGATGAACTCACTCAAAACAAGAGGATCGGCCCATTAAAAGAAAAGTATGCCATAATTAAGTGTCAAAGAAGAAGGAGCGAGAAAGCTTGAGAGAGCGACTTATGCAGTTTCAACCCTCACTCCCACTCGCTCTTGCTCTCTTTCTTTCTCTAGTTTGCACCACCACCTTCTTCAGATACACAATCACGCGCGCTCTGTCGCTCCAATTGTGCGTGCCCGCCCTGAGGTTCTGTCGCTCTGTCTCTCGCGCTCTCTCTCTGGCTCTGTTGAGTTTTAAGCTTCGTTTTAATAAAAATATTACGTAATACAAAGATAGAAACTGCCTGTGTGAGAGTGCGTGTGTGTGTGCCGATTTGCTGTTTTTGTTTGTTTTAACAATTCTCGTTATGCGTGCTGTTGTTGCTGTTGGTGTTCTCATAAAATTAGTACAAATGAAATCAGCAGCTTACTCAATTCTGCAGGAATAACAGGCGAGGGAGAAGTGTAGAAAGAATAGGGGGATAATGAGTGGGGGTGGCAGCGGGAGCGCCAGAAGAAAGGGGAGCAGCAGAAAAAGGGGAGCGAAAAAAGGAGGAGGTGTAGAAGCGAATGACCCCAGAGCGGGCACCTGTGTTCATGCGAAAAAAGGGAATAAAGGTCAAAGGACATTAGCACACAAAACGGATTGACTCGCTGTTATACACACAGCTATCTTCCTGTTTTGTCCTTTTCCTTTTTGTCCTAGGTTCGTTTTTAAGCTCGTGACAAATTTTTAAAAATGTCAAATAAATAGCGAAAATATGTTAAATAAATATAAAAAATTCAATATAATTTAAAACAAAACCGAACGAGGAAAGAATGAAAATGAAAAATTATAATAAAAACTTAGCATTGCGCGCCGGAAGCCGAAATGTGAAAGCCGCCGCGGAGAAAGTACACAGCGACAAACAAAACAAACAAATATACGCTTACAAAGTACACTTAAGCTTTTTAGAGCAATTTCCACAGCGAAAAAAGGTGTGAAAATGGAAATGCAAAATGCTGCGATGTGTGAACATGTAGATTCGGACTCGGATTTAGTTTCTGAATAGGAATTGGCAGTGGGAATGGAAATGGGATGTTCGAGGGCCGCACTCGTGTATGAATAGGTCATAATTGCACAGCCACATCGATAAAGTGTGTGTGTGTGTGTGAATGTGTAAAAAACAACAACAACAAAAATTCAAATAACAGCCGCATAAAAAGCGAAAAGCTGGCAAATGAAAATGGAAACTGGGCTCAGTCAGTCTGTGCTGAGTACCCACCATAGTTGAGGTCATAAAAATAGCACTAAAAAGTGACAAGGCCTTGCCATTTAATAGACAAGTGAATATCCATATATATTTCTAGACATTTAGTGAATATAAAAAACAGACCCGAGTGAAATGTTTGGGTTAGCTGGAAAAATAAATCATCTGAAAATGATAATACATATATGGAAAGCTTCACCCTCTGCCATTTATATTTATATATATTTTAAACAAATTGATTATTTAATAATATGATTTTCTTAAAAAAACAAAAAATAAATACTTTTTTATAATAAATAAGAATAAAGCTTTTATATATATATGTACATATAAGTACGACAAGGTGAAGCCTTCAATTCAACTCGCTTATCATTTTTTTATTAGGTTAAACATGACATCATGAGATAAAGCTTTTCAACTTTTTTTTTTGTGAAAAAAGAATTCAAAGTTTGCATTTTTTAAATCAATTTTTAAAGCAAATAATGAATTTGAAATAATAATATTATTAATAAATGCATTTACAACTTGATCTAATCTCTGTGATCTTCATATGCAAACACACATAGATATATGCCTTGAATTTTCCCACACACAAGTATTTATCAATTAATTAGCAATTAACTATCAATTTAAATGTGATAACCTCTCTGGTTCTCTGCGAACTACTCGGGTAATTAGCTACTCGCTGCACATACACAGTTCTACATACAACACTGTCCCCACAATCCCTCGTTTCTATATACATATATATTTTTTGTGAATTGAATTTCCTGCAATTTGATGGTTTCGGTTGGGGCAGGCTTTGGCCACTGGTCTGATGTGACCCGGTGATGGTTGTGTGATGTAATCGCGTTCAAGTCGGACAATTGCGATCGGACATTGTGGCAGCGATGACCCCAAGTGACGCCATCCCAAAAAAAATAAGGGAAAAAAAAAGAAAATAGAACTAGAGAGGCCGAAAATGAAAATGAATCATCAATTATCTAAGCATTTTTCTCACCGCCAACTCCTCGACTTTTCCCCCATTTCAGTGATTCTCTTGTGAAGGCAACGACGACACACGGTTTGGACTTGAAAGGATTTCGGTTGAACGAACGAATAACAGAGGCGAGGAGAGGCGAGCTCCCGGAGGATTTTAAATTACGAACGAGAACGAACACTAGCCACTACCTAAACTAACTAACTAAGCTAAGAACTTAACTCAAATTCAACTCAAACGAATCCATTGTGGAAACTGAACTCGCGGAAGCGCAACCATGACGACGGACATCTCGATTGTTCGCTGGGATCCCAGCCAGGGTCCCGGCAACGAGTACATCGATGAGTACGAGTACGATGGCGGTAACAGCAGCTCCCGACTGTTCGAGCGCTCCAGGATCAAGGCTCTGGCCGAGGAGCGTGAGAGTGTGCAAAAGAAGACCTTCACCAAATGGGTAAATTCGCATCTGTGCCGTGTCAACTGTCGCATTGCCGATCTCTATGTGGATATGCGGGATGGCAAGCATCTGATCAAGCTGCTGGAGGTGCTCTCCGGTGAGCGATTGCCCAAACCCACCAAGGGTAAGATGCGTATCCATTGTTTGGAGAATGTGGACAAGGCCTTGCAGTTTCTGCGCGAGCAGCGTGTCCATTTGGAAAATATTGGATCGCACGACATTGTCGATGGCAATGCTTCCCTTAATTTGGGCCTGATTTGGACCATCATCCTGCGCTTCCAGATCCAGGACATTACCATTGAAGAGGTGGACAACAAGGAGACCAAGTCGGCCAAGGATGCTTTGCTGCTGTGGTGCCAGATGAAGACCGCCGGCTATCACAATGTCAATGT